CGGGAATACAACAAATCCGAATTAAAAATCGGATGCAATCTTCTAGTATCGGGAGAGGGAGGCAAGTATCAAAATTTATCAATACAATATTTCTAAAAAGATGAAATTTAAGACCAGTATCGCAAAATCTCATACAGAGATTCATTATCAAATTCTAAATCAATGAAGTGATGGCAATCAACTTCCATTAAATCAAACCATATGAAAGTGGACAGGACCTTCAAAAAGGCAAAACACAAGTCTAATTATACCAAGCCTCGCACTTGTGAGATGTACACAACTACGTTGAAGATAAAATATTGTACGTCAAAACACAAGCAAAACATTTAATAATAGTGTAGATCATAACATGCATAAGTGTTTGTGGACAAGCACTCCCCATTTAACGGTCCGAGTGAGAGGATACCCATCTCCAGTCACTATTTTCACTATTTGTGCAAAGTGCTATTCAACCTCATAGATATGGCTTCTGCACCATCACCACAGATGAGTAGGAGGGAATGAAGTTGAAATCTCTAAGTTTCCAAGAAACGATGAAAGTCTTGGAGAGGATAGTGTTGAAGTGAATAATATTAAAAGGAATATATAACCAAGTTAGTCTTCAGTTGGTGCTGTAAGTGCTTACAATACTGTACTGTATACAGTATACTGTAGTGCAGTGAGCCGCTCCACCACCTACCACATGGCATCACATGCTTGAATTATCCTCATCCTTCACCTGCAGTGCTGGTAAGTGACAATTTTGTGAAAGTTTTCAGATCATTGTAGGTTATTTTAGCCAAAAAGTTGAGTATTGGGGTGAAAGGCAACAGGTTGTTATAAAAACTGAAAGAGAGGAAGCGAAACACCAGGAGGAAAGTGCCTTTATACCTCGGGATGGTTAGAGCCCCATATATTCCAAGTTATCGAGGGTTTACCATGTAGAGATGCAAATGAACACATGCATAAAGTAAAATGCAGTGGGCCTGTTAGCCCATATTAGGCACCGCTGACTAGACCAAACCAACATCGCCCATTTAGTCGTCCCATCTATATTTGAAGCTTCCCCCCAAAAGGTCAAAGTTAATGATGGTATTTTGACAAATTGTTCTACTCGTCCACAAATTTATTCCTAACCAATGTATACCTACTTCCATGAAATCTAAACTTCTCACCATTGTTGTGTTCACGCCTGATTTAGTTGTTTAAATACCTCAAATGATCCCCAGGGCCGGATGAAATTTTCCGAGTCTTGAAAGAGTGTAGGGAAAAGATTAGCGGACCCCTCGTAAACTTATTTACAAAATCATTAGACACTGGAGTTGTGCCAGACTTGTGGAAACAGGCAAATGTAGTACCCATATTCAAAAAGGGAGACAGAGCATCAGCGTCAAATTACCGGCCGATCAGTTTGACGTCAGTAGTGAGGAAATTTCTTGAATCAATTATAGCAGATAGCATCCGATCGCATCTAGAGAAAAGCAAATTAATCTATGACTCTCAACATGGGTTTACAAAGGTAAAATCTTATCTAACAAATCTGCTAACGTTTTTTAGGAAAGTCTTCGAGGTAGTAGATAATGACGAAAATTACGATGTTATTTACTTAGACTTTAGCAAAGCATTTGACAGAGTACAGCATCAGAGGCTTCTGAGAAAAATTAAGGCTCATGGTATCGAGGGGAGTTTTAAATTGGATAAAATCATGGCTCACCGATAGAACGCAGAGGGTCAGCGTAGATGGTGTTAAATCTGAGTGGGGCCGTGTAACCAGTGGGGTTCCCCAGGGGTCAGTACTAGGCCCACTCTTGTTCATAATCTACATTAACGATCTAGATACTGGGATCAGCAGTGACATAAGCAAGTTTGCGGATGACACCAAAGTAGGGCGGCAAATTAATTCAGGGCAGGATGCAAATGCATTACAGGAGGATCTAAATAAACTGCAGGGGTGGTCTGAAAAATGGCAAATGAAATTCAACACCAGCAAGTGCAGCGTACTTAATATTGGAAGAACAAATACTTATAATGTATACAGCCTTAACAACATCAACCTAGAGAAGTCGCCTTGTGAAAGAGACCTAGGGGTACTTGTAAGCCCGGACCTACGGCCTAGAAAACTGTGCGTTAATGTTCGAAATAAGGCAAACAGAGTATTGGGTTTTATATCTAGAAGTGTAAGTAACAAGAGTGCAGAGGCCTTATTGCAACTATATCTTGTGCTAGTCAGGCCGCACCTCGATTATGCGGTTCAGTTCTGGTGCCCCTATTGTAGAATGGATATAAATTCACTAGAGTCGGTGCAGCGAAGAATGACAAAAATGATTCCGGGACTTAGAAACCTTCCATATCAGGATAGGTTAAAGAAACTTAACTTGCATTCCCTAGAAAGACGAAGAGTGCGGGGAGATATGATAGAAGTATTTAAGTGGGTGAAAGGAATCAATAAAGGGGATATAGATAAAGTTCTTATAATATCCGAGCAGGATAGGACTCGGAGTAACGGATTCAAGTTGGATAAGTTTAGGTTTAGGAGGGAGATAGGAAGAAACTGGTTCATAAATAGGGTGGTGGACGAGTGGAACAAGCTTAGCAACTTTGTAGTAAGTGCGGGAACTCTGGAAAGTTTCAAAAGGAGGCTAGATAGATTCATGGATGATAGAGAGTGGTAGTAACTCTCGACAGGAGCTGCCATGCGCAGGCCAACCGGCCTACTGCAGACTCCTTATTTTCTTATGTTCTTATTTAACGCCATCTTTCACTTACCCCGTATTCATTTCAATCATATTGCTCCTCACTTTACTTCTCTCAAAAGATTTTTCTTAATCTGTCTCAATATAGCAGGTGCCTTATGCCCAGGACTTCTTCATCTTTTTCTGAAGCTATTCGAGAGAATCAGTGTCCACTCTATAGTATCTATAGTGACCAATACTGAACCACATAACATTATGTGCTGTTGACATTTTACGAGACCATGAACTTTCTCAAGCATCAGTTATTGCTAAACTGTAGAATTTATGGTATGGAGTATTTAACTTCTTGGTCGTCCAGGGAATAAGTTAGGTTACATTAGGTTGGTTAGCTTAGTTTAGTTTGGATATCTAAATACAAGGATTACTAAAACTAAAATTTTACCAAATTTTATGTTCATAATATGAACCAAACTAACCTACCTAATCATTATTATATTTAGGTTGGGTAGATTAGTTTGGATCATTTTTATGGACAATAAATTATTTAATGTAGCGAAATCTGATTCTTCAGAAAGTTCCCAGTCTCGTCACAAAACCATGTTCTTGATTTTACGCCCATTATATACAATACCAGATATTAAATTACCCTTTATACACAATATTTCCCCCCAAGGAATATTTAACTAAAACTAAGGTTATTAAATGTCAAAGATATATGGGATTTATGTCATTTACACCAATATTTCTCAACATCAACAACTGTACAGCAAAGTACATTGAAGCCAAGTTTCACCAAATATGTCCTGACAAGTACACAACCTTCTACAATTTCAACAATACAATACGTATGTAAAACTATAAGTTCTGTGTATCCCTCATACAGAACTAAAACAACATACTTATACAGTTTGGAAGAATTAACAAAACTTACAGAAACTTGAGTCACCTACCAACTTTAGAACCATACCCATACTTAAGTTTCAACAGACAATGTGAAGTAAGACAAACAAAATAATGTAATCACACATTTAACTGGTTTACAATTAAGCCCATGTTGATTTTTAGTACATACTGTAGATATGTACTGTACAGTAGATAATGCTCAAGTATATGTAGGATAGATTGGGTAGGTTAGTTTGGTTCATTTTATGATTGATAAATTAATGTCTATGAAATTTACTAAGACTCATCGAATGTCAACAACGGTGCCCATTAATGGCAGTCAAGGCTGAACAAAGGGGACATTACAAAGGTACTATCCAACCAAGAGCGAATTCGTAACAATGGTTTTAAATTAGACAAATTTAGATTTAGGCGCGAAATAGGTAAACATTGGTTTGGAAATAGATTAGTGGATGAGTGGAACAAGTTACCAAACATAATCATTAACTCGAATACACTGGATAGCTTCAAACATACTGTAGGTTGGATGGATATATGAGCAATGGGGGTTGGGTGTAAATGGCACTGCCCAGTATAGGCCAATAGGCCCACTGCTGTTTCCTCCATTCTTATGTTATGTTTTTTTTTTATGTGTAAGGTCACCTATAATAATTATTTACCCAGAAATATGTTTAGTGCTATTTAATACCACATATTTTCCTTACATATATATTAAAAACGGGTTATACATATTAGAATGCATCGGCAGGTTAATGTACTTAAGCCTAGCAATAATACAAGAATCAACACTTCATTACAAGCAGCTCTGCATATTACATTATACCTGAGCTTGAGAAATATGTACAGTACATACCGTGATAAACGGGCAATTAGCTTTTCTACGAGTCTTTATGGCACAAGAAAACTATTTTAAGTACTTAAAGGTCGTTAGTGTTGATTAAAAGGAAGCTATAAAAATTCCTTCACCTGGCTGTCAATAATATTGATCTTGCCTTCACTAACCACATTGTCACAGGTGTTTGGGTGCCATAGACAGTGATACAGCTTAGTAAATACGTGAAAAAAGTTTCTGTAAACACGGAACTTATATAGTGGTAGTTAAGGTCAGTGTTCTGCCTCAAAGGTGACCACACACCCTAACTGCGCTATTAATAGCCCACTTCACCCATGTCTCGTGGCACCTTTCCCCACCTATATAAAACAATTTAATGATCATATTACAAGTACCAATGACGGGAACTTGTCATGCACCGGCTCCTCATGACACTAACAGTGCGTGTCAGGTGAGCACGGCCCCAGTGAGGAACAACAAAGCACCACTGCTGCGCACGTGCCGACTCTTCTGAGACCATTGCAGTCTGCCATGCACACTGTGAGGCACATTGACCACCACGAGATTAATGTTGAAATGTTGCAGGCACTCACCAGAGACACTAGTTTTGTCAGCGATCTTTGGAGCAGTTTCCGTCTTCACACCCTTCTTCACTACAGGAGCCTTCGCCTTGGCGGTCTTTCCCTTGTTTTCCTTCTCAGAAGCCTTATCCTTTATCTTTTCACTCTGTTTTAAAAGATCCATTGGGTCAATATCTTCATCGTAAAAGAGTTCGTAACGGTTACGAACCCCTATGCCGTAAGAGTTCTCCATGTTCAGCAAAATCCTCCGATGGTGAGGATATTATACGATTTGCTGGCTGCTTTTCAGCCTTCTCCTCTCCCGATCATCCAAAATGGCGTGAGACGTCTGGACCACAAACTCTGGGTTACAGACCAAGTGGGCGGCTCAGGAGTTGATATTTAAATGGAATAATATTTTATTGAAAATTTATTGAAACCTAATATTACTTATATTGCTCGAATAATAATCTTTAATTACATTTTTCTGAAACAAATATTCAAAACGTTTTTTATTAAACGAAATAATTTGAGTAAAATCATAAAAAGATTGCAGCTCGTCAGGTACTAATGTGGCGGGAACCACTTGGCCTTTAATGAAACTTTATATGTAAGTAACAATAAGACGTCATACTTGTTTATGAATGCGCACTAATTATATATGCAATTCTGAATACATTGAAAATATTTATTTGTCATGAATATCATTGAAGCATCAAAATATATCAATGTTTATCGCGCATCCAATACAAAGCGGCTGACCAATCAACACACGAGAAAAACCCCGCGAACAATTCGATTTGTTTTGGCGCTAAAACATCCCGTAGAGCGCGGTAAATCTATGGTCCCGTAGTGTGCAGACATGTCGGAAAAGTGTCGTGAAGATTCTCAGTTTTCAACGCCTAAACGGCATCCCAATGGTGTGATCAGTGGGATGTCATTTCCTGGGAGTCCCCCAATGACGGATAATACTCTGTACCCTTGGAATTGGGGAGAGAATCTGTGTAAAGTGGAATTAGGGAGCCCTTGCTGCAGCAGTGGAAGTAACTCTTGTGAGAGCCCAGACCCCAGAAGCTGTGAATCTAAAAGAGGACGTCCTCGGGCTGATGCTATCAATTCCCTTATTATTGAAGGTGCTCAGTCCCCAAGCAGCATCAAATGCCAAATCTGCAACAGAGTTTTCCCCAGAGAAAAGTCACTTCAAGCCCATCTCCGTACCCACACTGGTAAGATATTTGGCATTTAACTCGCCATTTTTAAACACTGCACCTGTACTATCTTATTATTGAGCAATACAGATTTAATAAGAGTTCGTTTTAGTGTCAGTGTATTCTAAAATCATCAATTAGCAGGTAATATACTGAAACTGGTGCATCTGACTTTTACTTTACGGAAGAATGACGTCAGTAATCCGGTAACGCTTTTAAACGAACTAAACGTTAAAACGGTCGCTATCTGAATATTCGGAGAGAGTTTGTTTTGCTCTACATATAATATATGCATAATTTATTTGATCATCTTTCAAATTACAAGCATTAAGTTCTCATTCTTAAGGTTTGTCAGTTGTAGATTGCGCAATACACATGCAGGGGCCCCTCTCGGGCTTGGTCACATGGCGGGAAAGAGTAAAAGGCTCACTGAAAAATATTCTTTATAAAATTATTTAATGTACATTTTTATTCTATTTATGTTTATTAATGATATATGATATACAGGTACCGTGACGATTTACATTCGAAATTTTTACCAGTAAGAATGTCGTGAATCCTGGGAATATATTTTGAAATTAATTTAAATTTGCACTGTTAATAACAGCCAACATGTTCCACTGTAAGGCTTTCCACTTAATAGGCCTTTGTTTGCAAAGCTTTTAATACAACCGTTGTTACCCAACAGACATTTGTTTTTAACCAATCTACCATTATATTATTCATTATTGTTATCCTTGTTGGCTTTAATTGTTATGATGTAAACATTCCATTGATGCTGTAATTTAAAAAAAAGAATACACATGGCCTAGGGGGTGTTAAATGGAGGTTCCGCTCAGGAGTTGGGACAAGAAAACGCGCGGGCTGTCTTGCCCGCCAAAATTTATTGATGCTTATGTTCATATTTGTTAAATTTGCTTAGTTATGAACATAAGTTATTCTTGAAGTGGCAATGCTATTTTGTTTCTTGATTATTTCGTGTTGGTGAGATCTCAAAAGTGTTGACGGAGTGTTGTGAATGACATGTGGTTGAGAATTAAAAGGCGGGAGGAATGCGCGGGAGAACAACGCCGCCTCCCTGACGTAGGGAGAGGGTGGGGGGTGGGGTGTTTGTTGTTATCTGCACATTCATGATCCACACATTCCCAAAGTATATGATGCCTTTCCCAATTTCCTTTCTGCTCATTATATATGTGCAGCATGAACATTAAATTTCGAAGAGAGGAAATTCTATGGAGTATCGTGTTTCCGAGTTAACCGCGCCGTTTTGTGGGAATGGACCACGTGCATTTAAAAAATCACGCCCCACTTGACTCATTTATTTGTTGTCGAAGATGGTTCTGATTTACTGCAGTGTTCCTTATTGTCTGAAAACCTGTCATTCCCATATATATATATATATATATATATATATATATATATATATATATATATATATATATATATATATATATATATATATATATATATATTATAAGGTCATTGTCTATGACTTGAAGGTTTCAACTATAAAATTTATTTCAATAGATTATACGATAAAAACTTACTAGAAAATCTTGAACCAAATGTAGATTGAGAATCTGGTGAATATTTCACTTGGTGTTCTAAATGCAGTAACCTTCAGTAGACTGGTGGCCTACGGATTGTACGAAACGGTAATATGCAGTTTGATTTTTTTTTGTGTGTGTGTGTATGTGTGTTGCCTGGGCGGAATAGAAATGTTGTGATTTACAAATAGTAAACAAGGGTGCTGTCTAAATTTAGGTAACGCAGCTGGGAACGTGTTGTGTAAATGTTTTAATACTTGTGGTTTTGTAAACAATCTCAAATGTGTATTTTTTAGTCGCATCGTTATATTCTAAGGTCAGTGGATAAAGAATACATAAAGGTACTGTATACATTTGGGAGTTGTGAACCACCACCTGTCATCCTGATGGAGTATCTATTAAAACCTCCAACTTGTGCCAGCACAGTAAAGTTGACAATACAAGACTTGCCGGGACACGAACAGATATTAAGATGAAGTACAATTACTGAGTTACCTCCAGGTAAAACTGTCCAAGTCAGCTAGAACACCAAGACTTTTTTTAACTGCATTATGTTATGCAATAACACGTTTAAATTTACAGTCTACGTATAGGACAGGACAAGTTTTTTAGATATAGACATTTTGTCCAGTAAAAGCTGGTATTATGGAATTACCCTGTACATATATATATTCGAGAAGTGCATCCTCAAAGTAGATGCTAAGCAGGTACTGTACTGTATTAATTTTCTTTTCTTGGAGTCTTCTGGTTATCTCCAGACGAGCTTTAACTGCATTCGTGTATATAGCAATGGGTAATTATTTGTAAGGCAATATTTCGATACAGCAGTCTATGCCTCATACTCTGCATAACCGGTATCATGTACAGTACAATAAAATACCTGCATCTGAAAAACAACTTCAAAATCTTGTCGTTTGTGTGTTCCACAAGCATTCTTTAAGGAATCACCGTTATTGTTGAACTTTATAATTATCGTGAATACCAAATAAAAAAGTCTCGGTCCATTCTGTCTCATATGGGTCACTCGTACAGGTGCAGTGCTTGGTGAGTGTTCTTGGTGACCTCGGTGATGCACTTGTATCAAACATTTCAGTTTATTATAAGATAAGATAGTGTTTACACATTATCATTGCTTGCTGGGGAGGGGGGTATAATGGGACCTTCATCTGATAAAACAAAACAAAACAACAGGAGCAGCATTTAAAAATCCTTACATTATAGTCAGGCGTGTTCACTGCCATCGGTGTAATACAGTATTATCTAATATCCCACAAGACACCTATATAGTATGTACATAGTGTATAATTATATTAATTCCATAAAAACGTGATAGAAAAGTAAACAGTATTATGATATACAGGTACATAATTTTATAAAGTACATTATATCGTACAATTTATATACAGTTTAAGTTGCTCCACTTTATGGAAGATACCCGTTTTCAAGAGTCGGGAAAATTAATAAATTTTTAAGGCCCCACAAGGCCCATCATGATATGGTTGTGGGGATGGGTATCGATTTGCTGTGTGTGAGGCTTCATGTTTAATTGTTAGGCCAGTCAAAGTAGGTTGACAGGATTAAAGAAAAGGTATATTGTACCCGGTAATTGTAGATCAGTGAAAATTTATAAGCCTTGTGTGTATTTTTTGATTACAGGTATACAGTACTTAAATAGCTCATCAAACTTTGATTTTGGCACCAGTGGAAGCATATGTGTTTTCAAATAATACTATAGTTTCATGATTTGAGTAACATTGTTATTTACTTAATAAATGATTGTTAACATGCAACTTCTTCATATTCATAGGTGAACGACCATATCAGTGTGATTACCCTGGGTGTACCAAGGCCTTCACACAGAGTGGACAACTGAAGACCCACCAGCGGCTACATACAGGCGAGAAACCCTTCATCTGCTCTGCTCCAGGTAATAGCTCAATACTTGCATCCTCCTTGTATTACATCTTCTGTTCATCATCAAGGTCATTGTCTCTATCTCACGAAATACATAACAAGTTCAATTCGTATATGGTAATGCCCAATATTGTGAATAATATTCTTGGTATAATAAATATTCTGAAAAATGTCATGTGTAATCATATGCATTGAAATGCTATAAACAGAAGACTTACTAGCCATAGAAAGCTTAATTCAGGGACAAGCTGTATACTGTAGATACAGAATTTGAAGTGATTACAGTATATACATTAAAAATTGATTGATTAACTATAGAAGCTTAGAAGAAATTACATTATACTGTATACATTTAACAATGATGATTACCATAAGCAGGCTTGAACTAGTTAAAAACAGTGTATAATCTGAAGCAGATTATATCCATTTAAGAGTAGTGGTTGAATCAAGATTTTTCCCTCAGGCTGCACATCACGGTTCACCCACGCCAATCGCCACTGTGCTGAACATCCTTATGCCACTCTGCAGCGGACGTCAGATTTAAACATCAACCCACAACTTTCTCCTGCTGAATGTACTGAAGATGTAAGTTAATGTCTTGTTGTGTTTTAGGGAACCAAGAATTAGAAAGAATATGTAAGGTTCTCTCCAAGTAGCTATAATATTTTGCATTAGTAATTTGGATAGAAAAATATTTTGGTATTGTTGTACCTGTATATAATTAAGATTGTGCAGGTGCCAGAGAGGGTACCGGACACTACTGGTAATAATTTTTATTGAGTTGGAGTATTGTTATACATGTACAGTACAGTGTTTCTGTTTGGAGGTGTTGCGGATCTTGGTAGTAAGGGGGGAAGAAATTTAATTAACAGAAAATGGTGCAAGTTTGGATGGTAAAAATGATGAGTTTACATTGGCAGAATTTATAGCAGATGTGCTCCCAAATTACAAATAATAATGAAAGAGTTCAGAAGATAAACCTAACTTTTAAATTAAGTTAAAAGTTCCATGTTTTAAGAATCTTATAATTCACACAAGAAATTCATATAAAAATATTATTTAGTTGTTTATGTATTAGATGTTCTGCAAATTGTTCAAAACACATTGATCTGACTATAATGATTTTGACAAGACTAGTTTACATTGCAAGTGTTAGACTAACGAAATCAATTTGTCCACATAAGTATGCATACCGGTAGTATAGAAAACTATTACAGGTATCATGTTTTCAGTATTACTTAGGGGGGGAAAATTAAAAGAAATGTAGCTTCAAATTTTGTAAATCAAGTTCTGCCAGTACTGTACCTCTAAACTAATTCACTAATATTTATGTGAAGTTATTGCAAATTTTTTGGGAGTACTGAAAGGAAAATGGTTTTTTAAGACTAATGCAACATGATACTGTGAGTAGGCTAAATGTAAATGTGTTGTGAAAATGATGTTTAGTCAAGCAAGGAGTTTTCTGCAGTAGTGTGAGAGTAGATGCTATAAAAAAGTATTTGAGTAAGTCAGAAGGCAAAGTGCATTAAGTTGATGTCATTTGCATAAAGGGAGAGTAAGGAGTGAGGGTGGGGTCCAACGAATTACCCAAATGTACCCAAAAGTATATTAAATCAGGGTAAAATGTTAACGAATATGTTATACATACATAAAACATATCTAATAATATTTTTAGTGGAATTTTGTAAAAATAATTTGTAAGATGAAATAATAAACAGCGAAAAACTTTCAGTGTTGGCGAACGCTAAATTCCAAAGAGTTCGTGAACAAGGGAGATAACTCAGATCCATCGTGATGCACTTCGCTAAACTAACCTAACCTAACGAAAAGTAAATCCTACGGCTATGTTAAATACCCCAAAGTAACAGAAACATCGGTAATTATATCTCCATTTTGGATAGGTGACTCTTTGGAATTTAGCGTTTTTTGCTGTTTATTATTTCATTATTTTTGACTTCATTTCAATGAAAACATTATTAATCAGTTATTATTGATGTAAAACATATATTCGTTAAGATTTTACCCTGATTTAATATACTTTTGGGTAATTCGTTGGACCGGTGATGGTGTATGAATTGACAGTTAATTGAAGACTGTATTCTGCACTCTTTGTTGGATTAGTTACTGTTAGATAGATGGTTGATACAAATATATTTTGTTTCACCACTTTTTTTTTCCTTTTACTTAGGTTTTGCGGTGGTTGGAGAAGTATCGACATGAGAGAATGGAACGTACACCAGCTAAAGCCCGTAAGAACAAACGCGAATTAGATGGCACTCCTGATACTCCACAAACTCCTCATTCACCTACATCAGACTCTGACATAATGTCTCCACCACCAGTTAAGCGCACAAAGTCTCGTCGTGGCCTCGGTCCATTAATGGAACAGCAGCAAAATCTCCCCGATAACCGTCCTGCCACAACTTACCAGACACACACAGATGAGAATGTGTTTGTGTCTCCGGCCATTTATGGTGGAGATGAAAACAAGTATGGGGACTACCATCGTCCACAGCGTACTTTGCCAGCATCCTCTCTTCATGCCCGTGTCTTGAGGAATACAGAAAATTTGCAGAGTCCTGCAAAGACACACAATTATCGTGGCTTTGATATGGATGGAATAAAGCCATTGGTTGAAAATGAAGACAATGTATACACATCACATGATCCGGTGAATGGTGCTCATGTTCCACATGAGCCACCTCACCTTGCATTGCAAGAGCCAGACATTGTACTTGGAATGAATTTCCCAAACTCACTGGAAATGACCACAGATCCTTTAGGTATTCTTCCAGAACACTTTTTGGAAAATAATCTCGTGGTGGATGAATTACCTTGGCAAATATCAAGGCCAGTAACAGAAGTTCATACAGACCTACGAGTTGAGCCATTAGATAAGAAGTCTTTCCCTGAAACTTATCAACAAGAACAGTTGCCACAAGTAGTTTTGTCACTGCCAGAAGCACAACATCTTTCATCCAGTATTGCAACAGAAACCCAAGAAAATGTTGCAGATGATAAATCCCCACATTCCGAAAAATCCACACAGTCAGAGGAGACTTGGCGTATGAGGCAGCCTAAAAAGAGGTGGTTGCGAGAAGCTCGTCTTGAACAAGGGGAACTGGATCAACCCAGACACCCTGCAGATCCTGAAAATCCAACTAGACCTTCAGTTGTTGTGAAAGCTTCTTCTGCACTTGTTACTCCAGTCATGGGACCACCTCATGCTGGAGAAACTAAGGAAAAGTGGATGGGTGCTATGGCTCTCATACAACTAGCAGAGTTTCCTGAAGATGGATCACAGCCACTCAACCTTTCTACTGCACGATATACTACACTTTAATATTCTTCCATTAAATTTTTCCGGTCAGAAGAATTTTTTTCTATTGTGTGGAATTATTAAGGCAGGTTATCAGCAGAAATAACCGTGTCCTGAGCTTGTCAACTTTGGGTTGTAAGTTGCTATGCGTCTCCTACTGCTAGTCGTCTGCGCAATCAGTAACAAAAAATGTCAAAATGCTTTTGTGCTTTATTATAGTTATTATATATTGTACTTGTTACTTTTCAGTTATAATTGACTGAATTAATTACCACATTTATAGATACATGAATCTCCTAACTCAATACTTGTACTTGTGGGCAAGTGGAGATTATTTTTTTTTATCAGTTTTAATTAACCTTGTACCTGGAACATGCCTTTATTCGGATTTAGCTTATTTTATATTTTATTTGATTTGTCTGTTTAAAGGCCACTTATAGTTACTACTAAAGGACTTTATATTATGTATATAACTGAATTATGTTGTAGCTTTATATTGATTTATAAGTATTGATACCAGTCACATAATGTACATGAATAAATTTATACATTAATTTGTGTTGTTCCAATGACCTCAGACATTGACTGGAAATCTAATTCATTTTGCAGTGACTCACTCAAGACGTTTGTTGTATGGAGATAAAACATTATTGTCAAGTAATATCTGGAGACTGAAGAATTTAATGCAACGGAGTTCTGAGAAGCAGTATTAACCCCTTATGTACGAATGGTCTCTGTTAATGCGAAGGCTGTGTACTTGGATGATATTAGACTGATACATGGAAGGTTCAAAACTTAAGGCAAAAAAATGCACTAAATGGAAAGCTTTAACTGATGTTTTTTCCTATGCGAACTTTCAATGAAAATAATATGGAGTAATATGGCCCACTTTGTATTTTAAATTTAAATTTAAAATTTTCAGCAATTGAGTAAAATTTAAGTGTTCAGCAAATACAGGAAGACTTCCAAAAGTATTTGTTTTGGCAGAAAGTTATGAGAGAGTGGCAGTGATAGTATTTTATGAGATTCATGAAAACGGCAGTTTTAAGGTGAGGGGTACAATACTAAAGGAAGAGACTAGTGAGAGCAAGATGAGATGTTTGCTTCAGCTTGTTTACTCAGTTTTGAATTTGGAGGAAATTAGGTATAGTTGTACATGTAAATGCTTATTCTGGAGGCGATTGCGTTTCCTACAGACGACACCGCCGATAGATTGATTACATGTAAACAGCATCGTGTGATGATCATGACGTCACAAGGTACTACACAGGAAGCATGCGAGCACTTGCTCGGTTTTGGGTGTTTATCTCAAATTAAAAGCAGAGGTGCTATAACTTCCCGTCATTTTCCGAAGGATAAAGAACTAAGAAGAAGGTGAATTCACTTGTGCAAGAGGAAGGACTATAAATGCTGAAAATGCCCAAATAAGCAACTTGCATTTTGAGGAGAACTTGAAATATAAAATGCTTGGACTACCAGTACCAAGAATGGAACAATACCAATATTACAAATGCCATGCTCAAAAGGTAAGCCTTATATTATTTCAGCTACAACATAAGAATAGAAGTGTTATAATTTAAATGGTATATCGTAGCTTGGAAGTACTATACTCTTTATGCAACCTGGAAATATACTCGCTATGTCGGGGTTTATTACGTTACATTTTTGGTGTTTCGGGGAGAATCAGAAAAATTGGGATAAATTACTTGACATACATTGGCTAATGGTGTTATTTTATACTAATTTCTCAAATTAACAAAGTATATGGAGAACCATTAAAATTTTTAATTACCACGGTGAAAGGGTTAACTGGGAATATTGTAAATACTTTTGAGTATCCTGTGGGGTACGAGTTATTCGGGTTCACGCTCAGGATGGGATGGAGAAAGGATACTCACAATGTGCTCTCTGTATACATGTTGTATTGGATGTACAATGCAGCTTGGTGTTGGGAAGTGGCAGCGTGGTTAAAAGCGTGATGTAGAGAGCTGGTTGGTGAGGATGCTCAGAGGAGGACAGCTTGTGGGTCGCCATGCTCGCCGGCGGAAGCGAGGACCACCAGGCAGGAGTGAAGGAGGTGGTGTTGCTTGCTGGTTGGTGTAGGTAGAAAGAGAGCGGTCACCACGAGGTCAGGTCTTCTATAGCGGAGGTAGGCGTGGCTTAATAGTTGACCTCCGTCATGTAAGGCAGCGCTGGTTGACCTAGACCACGAGGCACACACTGGGGAATTCGCGGGGTTGGCTACTCAGCGACAAACAGCGTTTGTAGGGGAGGGATCCACTACAATACTCCCTCCTTCCCTCCAGGCGGTGTAGGAGACTTGTTGTCTGCAGGGTTGCATGGCACATGTGAGGCAGAACGGCGAGGGCGTGGATGAGCCGGCCGCTAGAGGAGACAACTGTCTAGATACACAATATCTGTGGGAGTAGAGAGGGAGAAAAAGGGTGTGTGGAGGCGATGAATGTTTGCTTCCCTCATGGCAGGTACAGAGTCGTCAGATGCGCCTGCTGGGGTGTGTGGGCCTGGGTCAGGAGCAGCGGCTGTGTTAGCAGAAGCGGATGAGGGCTCGTGACAGCAGCTGGGTCCACGACAGCAGCAGGGTGCAGGACAGTAGCAGGGAGTACCTGAGGGAGAAAAGAGGGGTGTGTAGGTCCGCACTCAGGCGCATGGGCCGCGTCGGGAGCAGGGGCTGCATCAGGAGGAGCGGCAGGGGTTACTACTGGGCCGGGGGCAGCGTCTGAGGCAGGACGGGTGTGTTGGGGCCGTAGGACTTGGTGCTTGGGGCAGGAAGAGGAGCGGCTGTCTGCTTAGAGTAGCAGAGTTGCTCTAGGGTGTCTAACCTGCGGTGTAGAGACAGTAGCTGGATAGCCGATGAGAGCTGCCTCTGCGTGGGTAAGCCAGTCTTCCATGTTGCTTGAAGACTGGGAGAGTGATCGGTTTCTCCTCCATCCTGTGTGAGTGGTCACTCCAGGGGTCACCATTTGTGGGGTACGTGGTTTGGTTCTCTCTCAGGATGGGATGGAGAAGTGAAACTCACAATGTGCTCTCTGTATACATGTTGTATTGGATGTACAATGCAGCTTGGTGCTGGGAAGTGGCAGCATGGTTACAAGCGTGATGTAGAGCTGGTTGGTGAGGATGCTCAGAGGATGATAGCTTGTGGGTCGCCATGCTCGCCGGCGGGAGCAAGGACCGCCAGGCAGGAGTGGAGGAGGTGGTGTTGCTTGCTGGTTGGTGTAGGTAGAAAGAGAGCGGTCACCACGAAGTCAGGTCTTCTATAGCGGAGGTAGGCGTGGCTTAATAGTTGACCTCCGTCATGTAAGGCGACGCTGGTTGAGCTAGACCACGAGGCACACACTGGGGAATTCGCGGGGTCGGCTACTCAGCGACAAACAGCGTTTGTAGGGGAGGGATCCACTACAATCCTACCTAGTTGGCGGGAAGCTGTTGTGACGGTGTACATCTGGTCATATGTTCTGGGATTTACGTTATTATGGTTAACTATTTAGTGCTTCAGTTGTTATGAGTGCAGTTGTAATCTTAGTGTAAATCTGGAGTGTAATACAGTAGGTAAGTAATAACACTAATTTAGTATGTCAAAGCAATAGGATTGTCCAGCGTGTGTATAAATCCCGTTATCCCCTCACCAGAACTTAATAAATGATAACAAAGAATAAAAAGAATTGTAAAACGGAGACTATAAACATACGAGTGTTCTTATTGTATCAGTTGCAGTATAAACTTATGTCAGTCAAGTAAACATCATTACTACACGTTCTTAACCTGGTTTATTTATATTAATACAAATCCAGTGGCGAGGAATAACCGATTGAACAGGACAGATGAGAACATAGTTTGAAAAGCAGACCGAATGAATCACCTCAACGGAACATTTTTCCACTAATTCCATCCGTCCTTGGTTAGTGTTGGTTAGGTTAGGTTACATTAGTTCATTATGGTTTGCTTCATCAATGGTTTTCACACTTGGTTTTGTAGACAGTCTCCATAAGATTCTTTTCCTTAGATAAACATTGATAAAGATCCCATAACAAAGTGATGTAGCTACACTTAACATTTAACTAACAAACAAAATCAAACGAAACCAAAATAGAAAAAAAAATATATTAACTGTGTGACGGAAGAAGTAGGTGGCCACAAATGTAGAGTGAGGTCAATGTGTTACTGTAAATACGAAACATGTTAACCCGAAGAAACTCCAAATTTATTGATGGTTAACAGTTGTGTCAAGGCGTATGATGTAGATACTGTATTTCTCCAGTATGTATATATCGCGTTACAGTAATTGGATTATAGTACTACTGCATATATTCTCAGCGTTTGTTAAATAATTATTATATTGTGTTCCTAAAGACGATAATTATAATTTGATGATCGGTACAGTACAGCAGTGATTCTCAAACTGGGGTCCGCGAAAAGTTTTTGAGAAATAGTGCGTTTAAACGTTTGTGAGAGATTTGGCGATTCCAATTTGCAGGATATTTTGGATTTGGGTTGAAATGAACAAATGCATTGGACTATGATTTATTCTTTGATTATTGACAATATTTTTATGCGTCATGGTATATAAGGGGTCCTTGGGTGAAAAAAGTTTGAGAACCCCTGCAGTACAGTACTGAACTTTATTATGTAATTACAAATAGTGATGAAGGGTAAGAGCAGTATACAGTGTTATCTCCAAGGGAGATCTATATGTAAAATAATCAGTAATTATAATTATTCACCGCCAGTGGCTGTCCTTTCACTCCTCATTACTGCCGTTTGGACGACGGCTCACAGCAGGCAGGTATTGGACATGCACAGGATTGTGAATGCACCGCGACTGTATCAATACTACTGGTCAAACCTGGATTTATAAGAGCTCTCTTGGTTCCGTCAAAACATTAACGGAACCAAGAATTATTCCTAAGTTTTAAATACGTCTAAGTGCGGGTTAGAAGACGGCTTGTACCACCACTACCAAGAATTATTCCTAAGTTTTAAACATGTCTAAGTGCGGGTTAGAAGATGGCTTGTACCACCACTAAAATATTAACAATGATATTGGAGTACATATTAATAACAGCTTTCAAATTTATTATCCACTCTTACCCGGAGCTTCATGAATACTGTACTAGTGTAGTACAGTATGATGTAGGATTTTGGCTCAATCTCACGCACCAGACACATTGTGTGTGTTTCTCTGTCTGTTGTTAAATATTTTATCTTCACTTGAACAATACAATAGTTAATGTACAAAATAAGTGAATTATGCGATTCATTGTGACGTATGTGGCCGTGTCCCCCACAAACATCAGGATATAACTTGGCATCTGGCCTAACTAACACTTTACCTTGAGTTATTCTAAAACACATTAATCCATGTTTCGCGTTTTACGCAAATACAGCATTAATAAACATTCATAGTGTTGTTAATTATCGTACGTTCTGGTAAAATTTTTCATCATTACTGCTGCTCGCGATGGAGTGCAGACATTCTATTCTCGACGTTGACAAACAAAGCGCCGCTTCAGGTGGCAGGGGAGGCTGGAGGCGTAAAAGTTCTTGTAGCCGTCAAGGAACATGCAGGAGCCGAGGGGAGCATGAAGGCGGCTGTAGTGTCGAGGCTGACCTTCATTCCACAAGAACTGTGGTACCAAAGACCCGTCAGCCCACTTCCACACTTTATTTCCACCCTCCACTATCTCTTTACCGCCTACCCATATAGGCCAACGCACACCTGAAACACAAGAACACATCTAGTGTAATATAGAGATAAAATAAACAAGTACGCGGTATATGCCTGTCGTAGAAAATTAACAAGAGACCGTGCAATGTAAAGTAACTAAGTTAACCAGTTAAATACATTGTCTCTTGTCTCTTGAAAGGCGAGGGAGAGGGGGGAGGAAGTCTCATCGGATAGTATTAAGGCCAACGAGACCTGCTGTACAGCAATGCAGTATGTGGGTGGAATACTATATAAATAAAGATGGATAATTACATGGGACGAGATATGGTCATGAACAAACAGGATTTATGGATTTTTTTTACGTTAATTGGGTGCCGGGCAGTTTTGGAAAATATAAAATTATTTGCCGATCATACACTGTAGGCTATTGAGAAAAATCTATCATAACATGGAATTTTAGATAGATGAGAAAATAGACAAATGAGAAGTCTGCAGCAGTGGAGTGATACAGGCTGATGGTAAAGGCGCCCACACACTCTCAAATTGTATGATCAAAGTTCAAACACCATGTTTGACAAACATATTTGATAGTGTGTGGACGCCTTAATGATATTAGTGATGAATGAAGGATGCTGTAGTGGACACAACTGCAGCAGGACGTACGTGAGCCGGACTCCCCGTATAGTTGGTCGAGGTGCCTCCTGGTCTTGACCACCACGGGATCCTGCACCAGCACCGCCCCACGACTCCTGCAGTATGAAACAAAAGCTTATAATTATGAAGGATTACTCTGTTATGAAATTGAAGATATTTGTATATTATCCCCATTGTTGTGTTTGTAACTTTTACTCACTACTCTAAGGAATATAACTGATTTACGTTAGTACTGTGTATAGGGTTGTTTCTGCATCCCAGCGACGTGCTTTTAAGTCTTATATTCTTTATTGTAAGAAGACTTATGACCCGGTAATTTGTATCGGGTGTGATGAAGATGACTGGTAATGTTACGCACTCCCCTTTTTACCGGTCACTCTAACGCCTTTTCACTCACTCTGTCACTCTCCTTCCTCGCCATTCACACTCAACCTCGCTGCCCGCAACCCTCTCCCCATGTGACCCACTTCCCCACTCGGGGCCCAACCTGTCACCGCCCGCCACACACGCTTCATCCGTGTATACCAGTATAGAGTATGGCCGTCCGTCCGTCCGTGTGTGTGTGTGTGTGTGTGTTTCTCTCTCTCCTGCATTCTCTCTTTCCCCGTTGTCTCTTTCTTTATCTTTCACTCTCCGTCCCTTCGTCCGTCATAAGCTGGTAGTACTTGTAGTGGTAGGTGATAGTCGTGTTTCTAGTTGTAGTGGTGGCATGTGTTAGAAGTGGCAGTTAGTGGTAGAGGATTGTCAAAATAATGCTTAACAGTGTTGATGATGGTGATAATAACATTAGTTGTAGTAATGCTGGTGGTATTAATTAGTAGAGATGGTGGTATCGGTTGTTGTAGTAGTAGATAGTGTGAGGTGGAGTTGTAGTGTTTTATATATACAGTAGTGATGGTATGTGGTGGTGTGGGGAGTTGCGCGTGGAATTTGAGGTATAAATACTTTGCAATGGTGGTAGTAGTAGTGATAGTGATTGAGGCGGTGGTAGTGGTGACCCACGAGGTATACATCTGGTAGACGGCCCCCCACTACACACACACACACACACACACACCCACATACATTGTTAGTAGCAACACATCCTCATCAGTTTGTAAAATCCAGTGTTAGTTGGTTTCAGTAATGTTATATAACAAAAAGTAAATCACAGGCTTTTCGAAATAACCCAATAAGCTCACACTCTTCCAGAAATTTCAAGGAAATGTTCCCATTTTATCCTGTGGTGGATGATGGAGTGTGTGTGTGTGTGTGTGTGGTGCGTGTGATGGAGTGTGTGTGTGTGTGTGTGTGGTGCGTGATGATGGAGTGTGTGTGTGTGTGTGTGGTGCGTGATGAGGAGTGTGTGTGTGTGTGTGATGATGGATGTGTGTGTGTGTGTGTGTGTATGGTGCGTGATGATGGAGTGTGTGTGTGTGTGTGTGTGTGTGTGTGTGTGTGTGATGTGTGTGTGTGTGTGGTGCGTGATGATGGGTGTGTGTGTGTGCGTGATGTGGGTGTGTGTGTGTGCGTGATGAGGGTGTGTGTGTGGCGCGTGATGATGGGTGTGTGTGTGTGGTGCGTGATGATGGGTGTGTGTGTGTGTGTGTGTGCGTGATGGGTGTGTGTGTGGTGCGTGATGATGGAGTGTGTGTGTGTGTGTGCGTGATGATGGGTGTGTGTGTGTGTGTGGTGCGTGATGATGGAGTGTGTGTGTGGTGCATGATGATGGGCGTGTGTGTGGTGCGCAATGATGGAGTGTGTGTGGTGCGCGATGGGTGTGTGTGTGTGTGCGTGATGATGGGTGTGTGGTGTGTGATGGTGTGTGCGTGATGATGGGTGTGTGTGTGTGCGTGATGATGGGTGTGTGTGTGTGTGTGTGTGGTGCGTGATGATGGGTGTGTGGTGCGTGATGATGGAGTGTGTGTGTGTGTGTGTGTGGTGCGTGATGATGGGTGTGTGTGGTGCGCGATGATGGAGTGGTGTGTGTGTGTGTGTGTGTGAGACTCACCAGCAGTATTCCCAGGCGGCGGGCCACGACAGCTTTTTGTCTGTTATCTGCAGGATACACATACGGTAGGCGATTTCCTCGTAGGGCTCCTCGCACGGCAGGTAGTTTCCAGGCTCTGTGGGAGTGATAACCTTTGTTAGTGGGTGAGGGTAACACGCTCTCTAGGTCGAGGGGGGGGGGGTACAAGACAAGGACTTTGGTAAGAGGAATATCAACATGAAAACGTTTGTTACAGATTGAGACTGGAACGTTTGTTAGCTTTGTGAACGAGAAACGTTTGGTAAAGGTGTGACAATGGAGTGTTTTTAAGGTGGTGTCAGGAGAAGAGCTTTTGTGAGTGAGGAAACGTATAGTACTGTATAGGGTGTTTAAGTTCCCCCTTGTCATAGGGTGAGACGCTGTACCAAACACAACACGAGTCTGGGAGTACAAGTGAGGGGTTGTAAGTAACATGGGTGGTTGGGTCCCGATCCTAAAAAGCTTTAACCTCACTTGACCACTACGAATAGGCAGGCCCCACTAGGCTAGGCTAGGTTAGGTGAGTAGACCCATTTGACTAATCGTCCAGACAAGAGAGGAAGTTGTTTTAAAGACACAGCCAGCTCCAAAAACAGAATTATGTCAAATATGGACCCTTAATGCACCACTTCTTCTATATACTGCACACCAAAATCTGTATACATGTGAACTTAATTTCTGAATAAAGTTGTGTCCAGTTATCTAATTCTGGTGTGCGTGTGTGATAGCGTTGTGGTGGACCTTGGAACAATACTAGGGTGACTGTGTACGACCCTAAATGTTAAAAAAAAGTCTTGGGAGTTAAATCGACTTACTGTTTTACAATTGTCTGTGTATACTTGCTCTGTGTAAACTTCTATGACGATTGTACAGAATATGTATCTATCTAATTATGTATTTTCTAAATGTGTTTATCTTTCTACCTGTCTATCTGTATAATCTGTCTGTCTTTCTATATAATCTGTCTGTCTGTCTGAGTTACGATGATCTGTGCCCGGTACTTCACAAGACTCCTCGTGTTTCCCATACCCAAGGAGCCTTCATTGCACATGCAGGTGTTGTGGTGGTGGGCAGGTGTTGTGGTGGGCAGGTGTGGTGGTGGGCAGGTGTTGTGGTGGTGGTGGGCAGGTGTTGTGGTGATGGTAGACAGGTGTTGTGGTGATGGTGGGCAGGTGTTGTGGGTGATGGTGGGCAGGTGTTGTGGTGATGGGCAGGTGCTGTGGTGATGTTGGACAGGTGTTGTGGTGATGGTGGACAGGTGTTGTGGGTGGTGGGAGGTGTTGTGGTGATGGGTGGGCAGGTGTTGTGGTAATGGTGGGCAGGTGTTGTGGTGGTGGTGAACAGGTGTTTTGGTGATGGTGGGCAGGTGTTGTGGGTGGTGGTGGGCAAGTGTTGTGGTGGTGGTGGGCAAGTGTTGTGGTGGTGGGCAGGTGTTTTGGTGATAGTGGACAGGTGTTGTGGTGGTGGTGGGCAGGTGTTTTGGTGATGGTGGGCAGGTGTTGTGGTGATGGTGGGCAGGTGTTGTTGTGGTGATGGTGGGCAGGTGTTGTGGTGATGGTGGGCAGGTGTTGTGATGGTGGGCAGGTGTTGTGGTTGTGGTGATGGTGGGCAGGTGTTGTGGTTGTGGTGATGGTGGGCAGGTGGTGTGGTGATGGTGGGCAGGTGTTTTGGTGGTGGTGGTGGGCAGGTGTTGTGGTGATGGTGGGCGGGAGTGACGGTGGCTGGTACACACCCTAGATAAGATAGTGTGGAGGTACTTGATCTGGCCCCTCTCTCATGACCTTATTTCTTCACCCCTCCCACGTAAACACGCCACCTGACACTGTCCTGGTCACTCAGGCAACTATTATTTAGGGTCTTTTACGTGTTGCCGGTGGTTTGTTTAATGCTCATTGTTCCTGGCGGTGTTTGTCCTTCACGGGGCAAGTGTTAGTACAACAGAGCAGTAGAGTGCTGTACTCTACCCAGAGAAATCCTACGGCTGGTCACACTGGGCAACGCCCATCTCACACACGACCCTGATCGAACCCGAGCAGCAATAGTGAGGGGCAACACGCTACTCATGCACCACCGGCCTTGCGTTACAACTGTTTAAAGTTGATTAGTTTCTGTGTGGCGCCGCCACATCGGCGAATTCATTGCAAATATTTTTTTCAGTGTAAACACTGATGGCACAGGATTTTTTTTATTAGATATTGAAAGGACAATGATGATAATGTAGTGAACTTGGCGGTGGCACTCAGCGGCAACCATCCGGGAATTGTAACCGCTGCTAGTGATGCCAAAATAGACAGGGTTAACTTTACACGTGAAAATATTGAACGTGTTGAATAGTATTAACAACTCTACTGTAATTACTGGCCGTCAACACCTGGTGATAACGTTATAAAATACACAGTTGTGATAATGATTTGGATCATTCCCTACCGGTGTTCTGTGTCGATGTTGACCATAGAGACGCGTTCAACTGTCGTAAAGCATCCAAAACTTCGTGGATGTTGTGGTACTGTGGCAGGCTGTCATCAGGAGCCTCAATAGTGGAGGTGTTGCGGATCACTCGCTGTGCCAGAGCGTCTATAGCTGCCAGGACCTCCGCCATGTTACGTGGTGTGTCTGGGGCGGGTGTGGTGACACGTTCATCATATTGGTGGAAACTCCTGGCCAGAGACTCCAGCCCCTCCAAGACCCCCATCATGCCCCCTGCTGGGCCAGCCGAGGCGAGAAGTTCCTGGGGAGGTGTGGTGGTGCGGTAGCTGGAATGCTTAACAGGGCGGCGTCGTGCCTCAGCCAAAGCCTCTAGTGCCGTCAACGCCTTCGTCATCTCCTCACCGCCGCTACCGAGGTCCAACTCTTCACTTGTGTCTTCACCTTGAGGAAGTAGTCCTTGGAAGGAGTCACTTGTGTCATTGTTTATGTTTATATGTTTCGTGGTGGCGTTTGTGTTGCTGGATGGCCGTGATGCCTCGCCTGTGTCGTCTGCTGCAGATATTATTGTTATACCTTGGTCATGATTTATATCCTTCACCGCAGGTTGTGTGTTACCTGAGCCAGATACAGACCCCGAGAGGCTAGTGTGCGGAGAATGTAGACAGGTGGGAGTGTGCACGCGAGAAGCGTCGTGAAGGGAAAAACTTGGCTTGGTCTCATCTGATCTTTCAATAATTTCCTCAAGTTCGTCGGCCAGCTTGACGAGGCGATGCTTGTTGAGCTCCACGTGACTGCGAATGTTGTTCAGGATTTCCCGGTGACTGCCAAAAGCCCTTTGTATCTCCTTCAAAAATTCTTCCTCAGCATTGTGGTGTGTTGTAGCCGTCTGGACGTGGCCAAGACACAAGAAGCCCCATGCTATACTAAGCATCCACATGTGTGTCATGTTAACGTCCAGGTAAAGTTGCAATAACACTGAGGACTGAAGCTTGTAGTTGACTGACGCGTCACCACCACCTCGCTGGCCTTCCTCCTTCACACTAATCATTTTATCAACCAGTGTAACGCATTCATTTATAATTTAATGTGGGTTACAAGGACGGAGCAGAGGTCAACCTTTAGGTGTTCCTTGGGTGAACCTCTGTGGAGAGAGGAAGGGAGGAATGAGGGGATACGAGGTGGGAGAGAGAGATCTGGGTAGGGGGAGGTCAGCTAATTTAGGAAGGACTAAGTTACATTTAAAGGGCGTAGGTAAGGGGGGGGGGCAAAAAGGCCAGGTCCAGGGAGGTGACAAGTTAAGGTATATCTTGCGACTCACTATCGACCGGATTGCGATTAAATTTAACAGGTAGATGTACCACAACAGGATCCCAGTCGATTTATAATGCACACATTGTCCTTCAATATATCTAAAGTTGTGGTCCATGGACTGTGATATGACGTGGCGGGAGATTGAGCACCTTCACTGACAAAAAAATTATCTTGAAACTTATCTGCTGTCTCGGTAGCATCACAAGAGCCACTTACCAGCAGCGCCATCAACAAAAATCACACTAACACCCACCATGTATGTGTATGACAGGACGAGACAAGTTGAGGTGTGGAGACAACACCCAGTATCACACCACACACGCCTCAACACTTGTACACACGACACTTGTCAGTTTACTCAAAAGTTCATTTGTTGACATAAAGTTCCTTTTTTAATCTGAAACCGAAAACCCAATCAGTATGGTTCACGTGTACAACTTAAACTCTTCTTCCTGCCCACCATCACAAGAGTAGATAATTAAATAGAATAAGTAGATTACATAACATTTCTGGACTGCAGTGACCCAGTGACTGGGAGACATTTTGACGAGAGACGAGAGGACCTAAAACTATAGATTTAATCTATGTTAACATATGTAAGCAATATGTTATTCACATGCCTTTGGGAATAAAGTCAAGTGGAAAATTAACAATGCTGATGGTAGTAGTAGTAGTAGTAGTAGTAGTAGTAGTAGTAGTAGTAGTAGCAGCAGCAGCAGTAGTAGTTGTAGTAGTAGCAGCAGTAGTTGTAGTAGTAGCAGCAGCAGTAGGTGGTGGTGGTGTGAGAGTGACTGGTGGCTCGCCGTCTTCTGAATGCTCCACCAACTTTTTTAATTCTTCAACGATTTGAAGGAGACGAGCATGAGTGTCTTGTGGGTTTAGATAATTTGGCTCAGCAACGAGGAGGTGGCCATGGAAGGTGGCGTGTGCCTCAGCCAGAGTCTCCAGGGTATGTATGAGTGCCAGTAAGCCGTCGCTGGACCTGTCACTTACTGTGCTGTCCATAGACTCCTCGCGTGACTTATTGAAGTATTGGTTATAAACCCTCGAAAGTTCCTCCATGGCTCCCGTGAATGTTGACAAGTCGTTCTGGGACTTTACTGTCATACTGTTAGCCGTGAGGATGAGGGAGCCTTCAGCAGCCTCCTCCTGGCCCCCGTCTTCGCCCGTAACATCTGACAGGAGGTTGTCATTTTCCTGCTTAAGTTCTTGAGTCGGGAGTCGTTCGTTTGAATCACCTTCCGGGTTTGGTTTATTTTCTCTGAAACCGAGGAATTTTTCACTCCAGCGTTTCATTGTGCCGACAAATGCGAACAAGCCTTGTATACCAGAGTCATACTCATCGTCCTCTACGTGTAGGGCAGGTGAGGAAGAGGGCAGTGTCAAAATGGGAATGTCTGTGTCCCAGTCATAGTCGGGGTCATTAAGAGCAGACAGCAGGTCACTTAGGTCCTCAATATATTTGTCAAAGGCATTTGAAGGTTCCCCCGCTTCAATAACTGCGGAGTTATGTGATATATTGCTGTTAACTTGGTGGTCCTCGACGGTGTGGTTGACGAGGATAACACTTAGCGAGAGTGTTTCCTCCGTGCTGTCATCACTTACGTATGTTTCATTCAGAACCTTGGGAGTGCTGTCCGCTGGAGGGAGTGCCTCGCCTCCCAGCAGGACACAGGTCAAAACTGTACACAATAAACTCCGTAACTTCATGTTGACCGCAATGTGTAACGGATAGGAGGTGAGGCAGCAAGGGCCGCGAGCAGACTGTTGCGCCACTAGCTATCTGCTTAACACAACACCAACCACCTCATAGTTATTGTACATAATTCTAGTGTTTTCTAGTCGTAGATGTCACGGCATTGACGTCTGATTTACAGGATGGAGTTTGCTATTACCATACAAAATGTTAGACAGAATACGTTATTTAAATGAACTCAACAAAGTATTTCACAATCAGTTGTAGGTGAGGCCAAAGCTCACTCGGAATTATCTTCACTATCTGGAGGTTATCGGTCATCTGACACTCCCCTACACACTGCAATGCTTCCCTATTAAGCACTGCTGTAATCGCCTTTGCGGTTCGCCTTGCACGGGATGCAGGGAAGGGGGTTGCCAAATAAACTAGCCCCCTCGCTGGGCAACTTGAAAAATAAAGTCCAAGGTCCAGGGGATCCACGCCACCACCACCCACCACACTATCATGTCACACTTCCTTCTACACACTACTCCACCACCACCACCACACTATCATGTCACACTTCCTTCTACACACTACTCCGCCACCGTCACCCACCACACTATCATGTCACACTTCCTTCTACACACTACTCCGCCACCGTCACCCACCACACTATCATGTCACACTTCCTTCTACACACTACTCCACCACCGTCACCCACCACTATCATGTCACACTTCTACACTGTCACCGTCACCCACCACACTAACATGTCACACTTCCTTCCACTACACTCTACTCCGCCATCGTCACCCACCACACTAACATGTCACACTTCCTTCTACACACTACTCCGCCACCGTCACCCACCACACTATCATGTCACACTTCTACACTGTCACCGTCACCCACACTAACATGTCACACTTCCTTCCACTACACTCTACTCCGCCATCGTCACCCACCACACTATCATGTCACACTTCTACACTCACGTCACCCACCACACTAACATGTCACACTTCCTTCGCCACGCCACCGTCACCCACCACACTAACATGTCACACTTCCTTCCTCTACACTCTACTCCGCCACCGTCACCCACCACACTATCATGTCACACTTCTACACTGTCACCCACCACACTAACATGTCACACTTCCTTCCACTACACACTACTCCGCCACCGTCACCCACCACACTATCATGTCACACTTCTACACTGTCACCGTCACCCACCACACTAACATGTCACACTTCCTTCCACTACACTCTACTCCGCCACCTTCACCCACCCACTCTTGTTACACTTGCCTCACAGCACTTTACTCTTTCTCTTGATAAAGGTATTATTTAATGTGGTTCAGATATCAAGACAGGATGTGTAAAACTCATATAATCTTTGGTGTTAATGGGGACTCATTTATCAGTAATTTAAAGTTGAACTTTATTACAGCGGATGTAAGGAGTGACAGCTGAATATAACTAATAGAGATGATTCTCGTAGTATAATGAAGCCCCCTTCTCCCCTCCCCGTATATGTTGGAGAAAGACTTGTTGTTTATCGTGGTGGTGGTTGCGCGGGTCACCACACTCGTGGGAATACCCGCTACACCTCTCCCAGTTCGTTCAAGTTTAGAAGTCCCTCCCGCCTCCCCGTCTTTACGTTCACAACGCGGGGCCTCAGTCAGTACAGCTTCTTGGTGATGTTCTTTAATTAAACGTTCAGTAAACAGACTTTAGCTGTGGATGAATTTTGGTGACTTTGGAAGTCTCTCAGTATTCAGTATCTGATATAGCTCTAGTGATGTGTTACACGCGAAACTGGAATGTGCTTTGCAAGATTTACGATACCCACAATCTCTTAATCCACCCACTGAACTGTACACTTCTCCTTACTGACTTAAACGTTAAATATTATTATTATTTATTCTGATCAAATTAAGTTTGTTATTATCTCTCATGCAAATTAATTCGACATAACTCACATTTATCTTAATACAGTATATCATATATATGTCATCTTGATGTCCGTGTGGCCTCTGTATACAACCTTATGTTCTGAAAAGGTTAAGATAGTGAGTGAGTTATATCGACTGCCTGACGGCGAGTAAGCCCACCAGTGACCAGGAGGATAAAAGTAAATGTAAAGATTACCTGTGGTAGTTATAGGGGCTGGCGGGGTTGTTGTTGTTGTTGCACTATGTAGTTGTAGGCCGTGTGAGTCAAGTGTGTTGTTCAACTGCAAAGCTTCACCCAGTAGCTGCAGCCTCCCCAACAGGTCCACCAGGCCCTGATGTACACCTGCAGCGTTGATGGGGGGGTTATCATCAGGACCATTCACTGGCAGTACGGGAATGTGTTCAGTGGTGGCTCCTTGTTGTAAAGCGCCGCCAAGCTGTTGCATGCTCGTGATCAAGTCCACCAGGCCGGCCTTCACTCCACCACCTCCACTTGCCTCGCTCACCAAGGGAGGGTCCCGGGTGGATGATGACTCCAGTTCCCCCTCGCCAAACTCCACCTCCCTCCTGTGCAGTGGGTTTTGATGGTCGTGGTGGGAGTTCACGTTGACATGCACCTCCCCTTCCACAATCCCACCCAAGAACACAATACCCCACAAGAGGAAAGTAACTGCTGTAAACTTCATGTTGTGGGAAGGTGGGGGTAAACTTGCGTGTTGGTAGAGGTGAGGCGGGAGACTGGGGGAGGGACGTGAGGGTGTGTGGAATGTGAGGCTCCCGACTTAAACATCCCGCGGATATAAACACAGCCACTGTCAACACTAGGTGCTGCGGGCACTCACATAGATACATACACAGTTGATATACAGTATACTGTAGATAGATAGATAGATATCGTCATTCACAATCACGTTGGTTCAACTTGTCCCATAGAGACAGTACAAGTTATCAAACAAGGGTAAACACTGAGGCGATTTAACAAAAGATTATTCCAAGAAAGTTGTTAAAAGCCGAGTTAACGTTGGTTATTTTACTTCCTGTAATTCTTCACTGTATTCTTGACAAAGGTGTCGTGTACAGTGTGTGTGTGTGTAAAAACAGCGTGAACGTTTACTGGTTTCTCCACAAAACACACACACGCACGCACGCACACACGCGTCTTTGCCTACATCTGCAACTTAAAATAATTTAAATTTAGACTATATAAGGATAAACAACTCTAATTTGTGAGTACTGTGTTGTTCCTGGGTGATGGGGGACGAGGAGTCGTGAGCGTCACAGGACGAGGCCTCTTAAATGGCCACATAACTATTGCAGGAGGCCGTGGACGACCCATCACCAAGTGTATACATAACTCACAACCAATTGGTACACAGGACACAGGTCAGGCGCCACGCCCATCACCACCACACAAAAAATAGACGCGGTTATTATTGTGGCTGATGGTGTGTGTGACCTGTACTCACGCACACACGCACTCCCTCACTCCGTCTGTCTATCTATCTATCAGCCAGTCTATCTTTATATCTGTTTGTCCGTCCGCCTGTCTATTTATATTTATCTAACCATCCATCTATATCTATGTCTTTCTATCTATCTGTATGTATGTACAGTATGTATGTATCCATATATATATGTCTTTATGTCTGCCTATCTATCCGTCCATCCTTGCATCTCTCTATCCATCTATATATCTATTTATCCATTCGTCCATCCATATATCTATCTGTCTATCTACCTCTGTTTACATTTTGTCCACCAAGAGAGAAAGACTGTCAGATATATACCGAGAAGCGACCACTATTAGTATTAGTATCCTGTTTACTTTATCTTGTCTACGGCGGTGGCTTACGATGTGTAGAGGGGTTGACAGGTGTGGAGGGTTGGTTGACAGGTGTGGAAGGATGGTTGATGGGTGTGGGGGTGGTTGGCAGGTGTGGAAGGATGGTTGACAGGTGTGGAGGGTTGGTTGACAGGTGTGGAAGGATGGTTGATGGGTGTGGGGGTGGTTGGCAGGTGTGGAAGGATGGTTGACAGGTGTGGAGGGTTGGTTGACAGGTGTGGAAGGATGGTTGACAGGTGTGGAGGGTTGGTTGACAGGTGTGGAAGGATGGTTGATGGGTGTGGGGGTGGTTGACAGGTGTGAAGGATGGTTGAAGGGTGTGGGGTGGGATGATGGATGTGGGGGTTGGTTGATGGGTGTGGAGGGTTGGTTGACAGGTGTGGAGGTGTTTGATGGGTGTGGAGGGTTGGTTGATGGGTGTGGAGGTGGTTGATGGATGTGGAGGGTTGGTTGATAGGTGTGGAGAGTTGGTTGACAGGTGTGGAGGGTTGGTTGACAGGTGTGGAGGTGGTTGGCGGGGTGTGGAGGGTTGGTTGATGGGTGGAGGGTTGGGTGATGGGTGTGGTGGTTGACAGGTGTGGGGGTGGTTGATGGGTTTGAAGGGTTGGTTGATGGGTGTGAAGGTTGACAGGTTTGGAGGGTTGGTTGATGGGTTTGGAGGGTTGGTTGATGGGTTTGGAGGGTTGGTTGATGGGTTTGGAGGGTTGGTTGGGTCATTGTGCCAGGTATAGTATAGCTGATCCTAACCACCAGACACCAAATTGGAAAAATCATTTATACATCAACTCTATCTTTGAGGTCCAGTGTGTGACGAAGAAAGACGGAGACAGTAAATAAAATATATCATCAATCTCCAAACTCACGGTGACGGAGGTGATGGGTGTGTGAGGGAGTGAACAGTGTCGGGGAGAACGTGGTGGAGACAACATGGTGGTGATGGTGAGGACGTCGCGGTTGCGGCCGGCGGCGATGGTGGTAATGGTGGTGTTGGGTGTGGTCGTTAAGCCCCTCTTCGCTCAAGATCCTTCAGGTTCAACTCACTTCTCTCTCTCTTACGAGCACGTTTACTTCAGTATGCCACACAGTGTGTGTGTGTGTGTGGTACACTGTACTTTAGCATCTCATTATGACCAGGAATACACAGTCATCATTTTTACACATGATTGTCTTTACTATTATCCCTCAACTCATATAACTTCCATTTCTTGCATGATTTCCCCTCACCCCGTCTCTAGATTGATCACCTCCGACCTGCGGTGCTCAGAACTTTTCATTATTTTTCCTCTCCTGCCACTGAAAACCCTGCAGTATATAAAGAACTATTTTCTCACGGGAACAGCTGTTGGACGAGTCATACAGGCATTTAAGGTATTGTTATCCCTCCAGAAGCAGCGGATATGGAAGCAGTCGTGCAGGCTGTGTCAACATCGTCCACTCCAACAGACCAGCCGGGGACCGACCAGGTGCGTGTGCTGGTTCTACAAGAGTCGGGCAAGCCAAGCTCCACCAGCTACGCCCGCCTCCTCACACCCTTCCCAGAACTCCGATCTTTCACAGTCTGCTACAGGATCCGCTTGAACAGGTTCAGGGAGGAGTCCACCCTCATGTCCTACGCTGTGTCCAATGACAAGGACAACGAGCTCAGGATGGGTGAGTGTCAACATCATCATTGGTTTTACTTACATTTTACATAACAAGAAATTTATTTATACAGTTCTTCAAAAACACAGCAAATATTTGTACACAACCTCCAAGAACAATGATTTACTTCAATTCCATTGTTATTCTCACTTCAAGAACATTAATGATTTTTTTTTTTACAGTTTAACTCCATTATTTTTTTTTTTTAAGTGTATATAGTACAATATTGCAGAATGTTACTGTTTTTATTTACTTATTTACTGTACAGTAAATGCTTATAAAGGCCCCACATGCAAAGAAAACAAATTTTTTCTTGTCTATTTTTGCTTTTTTAATTTGCTTAAATTTTACCAAAGACTGACAAGGTTTTGGAATCGATGAATCAAGATCTTTTAATTTGTCTTCAAAACTGTAAGTAATAAGTGTTCTTAATATACAGACCATCAGGTGGCGAGCTTCAAGGTGTCACTGCACAGCAAGTGGACCCAGACCAATCTACAGACACCTCTGCGCTCCTGGGCACACTTCTGTTTTACCTACAGCTACCTCACCAGTGGTTGGAATATCTTTATGGATGGGGAGCTGCGCGCACATGGCACCCTCCCTCTGATCCCCAGCCCACTTCTTGGTAACGGCGCTTACGTCATAGGTAAGGCTTCTTGTATCTTAAACAAAACTGAAAAACATATACTGTATAATATACAGTATATTAGATATCAAGTATGGAGCTGTCTTGACTGTTTTAGCCAAAAATGTGGCTCTGTTGCCTATGATGTAAATTTAATTTATTGCCACTATCAAAGTTGTTTTCAAACACTTAACATAGTGAGTCCTAATCCTAATGGATTTCAGTCTTAAAAGTCACATAGCCCAATACAGTAGTTTGGTTAAGTTAGTTTTTGGGGTGTTGGTGGTGCACGTATCTCATTTTGCGTCCTGGGTTCAATCTCTGACCTGGGACAGATGTAAGAAGGGTGTTATCCAGTGTGACCCTACCAGACATGGTAGGTTTTCTCCAGGTACTTTGGTTTTTCCTGTACTAACACTGGATAATAATGGTATTAAAGTGGCAAAGAAGAGACCAACTGCCCCACACTACCTGAATAGCTAGAAAGCTGGTAAGTGGTGTAAATGATATTTTAATAAAAGAATAAAACAAATAAATACCCTTGTACTGAGGTTAATTCGACCTGCAACCTGTGTTATGACAGGCCAGGAGCAGGATTCCTTCGGTGGGGGGTTCCAACGTGACCAGAGCTACAGCGGGGAGATCACCCAACTGAACTTCTGGTCCACTGCGTTGTCTAACCTCACCATCAAGAGGGTAAGTTTTACCGCGCCTTGTATGCCCGACACAAGACTATCAAGTCAATCTGTGTACAGTATTTAGAAGTCATATATGGAACTGGCAAATACACCTAAATTATTTGCTAGTAATAGTTGGCAATAGTGTGAGGGCTGTGAGTAATTAAGTAGAAGTTCATATAGCTAATGAGAAATGTGAATTAGTGTCCATTTCTGGCTGGATGATTTTCAACCAATCTTGCCAGAAGTGGACACATGACAACCCACACTAAAGTTTCATTAGATAGAACAAAGAGTGTCTTTCTACAACCCAGGACACTAGTACTATACTGTACCTCACTTAAAAGTTTCATTCAATGAGACCAAAAGTGTCTACAAGGGAAACAGATGCAAAATTAAAGAAAGATGACGGAGTTCTCAAGTGAAGGCTACAATGATCTCTGACAGAACACTACAGTATATACAACCTGCTAAGATGAATCACATTTGTTTGTTTAATTGGTGGGTAAACAGTCCAAGATATGAATTTTAGCTCAGAGATTACCAAAACTATGATAGTTGTGGGGATTACTCAATATGAATTTTTAATATTGCATTATTAATTTTATGTATAAGAGTATGGTACAGTAATATAATTCTCTATACTATACTAGATATCTCACTGCGAGGCAAATGTGGAGGGATTAGCACTTGGGTGGTCAAAACAGGAGTGGCAGCTGGAGGGTGAAGTTTACTCCCTAATACGGCCTGTGAAGGACTTTTGCAAGACAAGCAATAGCCGCCACTTCACCTTCTTTCCCAACCGCTTCACTCTTCATCAGGCCCTCCATCACTGCAAGGTGGGACACTGATGATGTAATAGTGTTTGTATTTTGTATCCCTGTAAACTGAGAGTTCAGCTCTTCTTATCTGGAACAATATACACTGTTAATACAAGTGACACCAATCATACAGGTTTAAGTTGTGTTGTGTTTAGGTTCCTTATTTGCTATAACACGCTAGGTACTGTTTTATATTTAGTAAACTAGTGAAGGTACAACACTTGTAAACTAGCAAGGGTACAACACCAGTGTAAACTCATAAGGGTACAACACCAGTGTAAACTCATAAGGGTACAACACCAGTGTAAACTCATAAGGGTACAACACCAGTGTAAACTCATAAGGGTACAACACCAGTGTAAACTCATAAGGGTACAACACCAGTGTAAACTCATAAGGGTACAACACCAGTGTAAACTCATAAGGGTACAACACCAGTGTAAACTCATAAGGGTACAACACCAGTGTAAACTCATAAGGGTACAACACCAGTGTAAACTCATAAGGGTACAACACCAGTGTAAACTATCTTGTAACATCACTGTTTCTACTACTTGTCTGATAAATTTCTTCTCACACAGCTGTCTGCCTACATACTTTATGGTTAGTCTCAGTATAGGATAGATATATGACTGAACTGACATATGTTTGACTCTGAGTTCTTCCTGGTAACTAGTTTGTCAGGTGATAAAATCCAGACCCCCTTAGATGATTGTGAATACATAAAAGTGTATCTTCTTTAATGATTGTAAGTAGGTTTTTCTAGCTATCAAAGGTCTTCTTGAATATTGTGTACTGTATATTTTAAGTACAGTACAGGTATGTGTATTATTACACTGTAACACATGTACTGCACCTGCCATGTGAATTTTTTTTTATTATTTGCTGAATGTCTGAAAACCTTCTCTTATAACTCTTTTGCATAGGTTCTGGGAGGGATCTTGGCAGTGCCTCAAACAGAGGAGGAGAACTCACTTGTGTTTCAGTCATCCCGGAGCCAAGCAGAATTTTGCTCAGGGAATGTGGGAGCATCTTACCTGTGGCTGGGAGCCAATGACCATGAGACAGAGCAACAGTGGGTATACTGGGGCTCAGGAGAACCCATCCCCCAAGAGGGAACCTGGCGTGGCACTGGGCCCAATGGTGGCATTGTTGAGAACTGCTTGGTAATGCTGTATGGCACCTTTCCTGGACAGTGGTCTGACATTGCCTGTCTAAACACTTATGCTTTCTGTGTGTCATGTGAGTTTGAGAACCAATCAGTTATTCACCTGAAAGGTTTGGCTGTATGCGAAGAATCACCTTTTAACCTGCATTACTTTCTCGGGGAGGAAAAGGGAGGCCTCCCCTCTTTTTCTGGGTTTTTTCACTCCAACATTGAATGGAATGTCACTAAAGGTGCCTGGGTCCTTCATTCACTGAAGGTAAGTACAGTACGTATATAAACTTGTTTTAGTGATTTTAATCAGTATTATATTTGTTTATAAACTTGCAGAAAAATTTAACAAGTAAGGAATAAATGTGTGTACAGGTAGTCCTCTTTTTATGTCCAAGAGAATAAGAACACAGCCCAGTCAGTTATCCACTTGAGAGTCACCTCTTAAGTCTGCATTTAGAATTTGGCAGTACTCTAGATTGTTAACAGTAAGCCAGTTATTCAACCAAGCCTCTAAAAAATTTAGTTCAAATTAGGATGGAGACAGTGTTAGTAGGAGCTACAAAGCAATGGAATTTGAAAATAAAACCTTCACTCAAACTATTTAATCTCCTCAGTGACTGTCAGGGATTTTTAATAGATTTCATCAGTCTACTGGCAACTGAAAAGTGATGAAGGGGGGGACATCAGAACCTTCACTTTACTTTGTCCTCTTAACCACTGGTCACTCACTAGCCAGTTGGTCATAATCTCTGTTATGCACCATTGGCAAGTACAGTATACAGTAAGGTTTATCATATTACAGTACCTGTATATACTTTACTTAATCCTCTTCACTACTGATCAATCTGTTGGCCACTCGGGTGGCCAGTCATGGCTCTATTATGTAAATACTGGGGCAAACTTTTTCAGAGTGAGAATTGTGAACTCTTGGAGAGTGTTGTGACAGCACTGAGTGTGAGCTCTTTCAAGACCAGACTTAACCAACACTGGGGCAGGTTCAGATACATTCAGGAGCCAGGCCATGCCTAGTACTTGCCAATGAGCTAATCAGTGGCAAAGAGGATAAAAGTAAAAAGTAAAAGTAAATACTGGCTCTTGAATGTATCTGAACTTGCACCAGTGTTTGGTACAGTATTTTATTTATCAAAGGTGCTAGTTTAGGTAATAGAAAAAAATCATTAGTGCTCAACATATAGAAATGTTAAAGAGATTAAAAAAGAATGCAGGTTTGTTAAGGCTTGCAACTATTGTAAAACAAGTCCAGACTTAATCAACACTGACAAGTCTTCTGGTACACCAAAGAGACCATAATTGTCTAGTACAGTGGTCCCTCGGTTAACGAGCACAATCCGTTCTAGAAAGTTGCTCATTAACCGAAACCATTGTTTCAATGGGTTTTTGGGTAATTGGTTCAAGCTCACCGAAAATTGACTAAATTAAACAAAAAACGTAGAAAAGTACACTTACTTTGAGGTATGTATGTAGAAGGCTCCTGGATGATGATGATGGGAATTAGAATGGGGGTGGAGAAGGGAGAAGAGAAGGCATTGGGGTGGAAGAGAAGTCACCCCATGGCGCCATTTCACCCATAAAATTTTAGTTCTCTTGGTGCAATTCAAGATTATTTTCTTTAAATCAACACTGCACTGCATTATATATTGTCAATATGTAAAACAAATTTCAAAATGACCAATAATTTGCTTGCAAAAACAGAAAAAAAGCATTTAGTTGAAGAGTCTCAAGCAAGATGTTACCTCCACTGAAAAGATACAAAGACTGACGCCTGTATAGTGTGTTGAGAGGCTGGATGGCACGCATAAAACTAGTTTCATTACCTTCAATTATGTTCAATAATTGTTAAAATGAGTAAAAAATTTTATATTAAACTTTTAAAATTATTGAATAGTATAAACTTCTTGATATTTGCTAAAATGGTAAGGAATTTAAGCCCTAAAACTGATTACTGTATTGGCGGACTAATACTACAGCTGGTGGACCGCCAAATGCAAGTGAAATCATGTTCAGGTTGGTTCGTAAGAAACTCGTTAATCGAGGGATTGCTCGTTAACCGAAGTTAAGAATCTTATGGAAGGTAACTCGTTAACCGAGGGACCACTGTACTCTATACTGTACTTAGCAACAGTACAGTACATGCAAAAAAACAGACCAACTGCCTGACTGGCTAATAAGCAACAGCTACTGTATTTTCAAAAATTTTTGTCACTACATAGTCTTCAATGTTCGTTTACATGATCAAAAGGGTTGTTTTAGAAGTCTCTCCATTGAATCTAACTGCTTCTTGGAGATAGGTAACTGTCTGTATAATCGAGGCACTATTTAGGAAAAAGATCTTGATGGTAGTGAATATCAGCAGTCAATGACTCAATCCATTAGGGCTGGTCAATCATCTCATGATGACCCCTATTGCATGTTCTTATATTATTTTAAAATGTTACCACCATTCAAGATTATTACTATGGTTCATTACTATTAGGATATTATAAAATTATGAGTATTAATACAGTATTATTATTATAAGTTATAACTTCTTAAAATACTTAAAACTACAGTACAATATTCGAAATTCAGTGCACGAACAACCAAAATATATCCTGCGTTTTGAGTTTATGTGAAATTGTGTTTTTGCAGGAAGAGGATGCTATGGCATGGTGGATTCCACCACGCTCTGGGATGTATCCATTTGGCACCAACTTATGGACACTGGGTTCTGAGATATGTGACTTACATCCTGGTGAACATGTCAACCTGACATTCTCAATATGTGGCACAGACAAATACACCTGTGATGATGGTTCCTGTATTAATATAGAACAACGGTGTGACTTGAAGGTAGACTGCCCAGACAAAAGTGATGAGGCCAAGTGCTCCGTGGTGAGCATACCACAAGATTATCGCAATGATATCCCACCCCCACCCCCTTCTCACGATGAACATCTGCCTATTTATGTGTCCATCGGTATCTCATCCTTCCCCTCTATTGCCACAGAAGACCTTACCTTTGTCACCGCACTGGAGCTAAAACTGCGCTGGATGGACACAAGACTCAATTACCTAAATCTCAAGGGGGACCGAACACTAAATGTTCTCTCCCAGGAATCACAATTGGAGATTTGGACCCCTAGAGTGTACTTCAGTAATGCACGAGGCAATGTATTTTCCAACTTAGATCAAGGCTCTCGTATTGAGTGTATCATGGAAGGTACATCTGTGGTGGGTGGCCCTCACCTCTCAGAAGAAAGTAAGTTATTCAGGCCTGTTGTTGGCTCAGTCAATCTGATACACAACCAAGTGAAGTGATAGAAGGATGCATTTGTGAATTTTTTTTTATATACAGTACAGTACAATACAATACACTTAAATATACTGTATATGCACATTTACCATTGTCATAAATTAGTTATTTTTCCTGTTACCTAACTTTTGCATTTAGGCTCTTTGTATGATTTGAATTTTATTATCGTACACTTACAATACTGTACATATTAATATTACTTAAATTTACAGTGAACATCTTCAGTGGCTCTGAGAACAGCCTGGAGATGGGGCAGCTGTACAGTGTCACTCACAGCTGTGACTTTGACCTTCTTATGTTCCCATTTGATGCTCAGGTAAGTACGGTAACTATGTACAGTCAGCCAATGATACACCGACCCTACCCTGGGTCTCGTGCTCGCAATTTTACCTGGCAATACTTGGTAAAGGAAGGCTGTATGTAAACGTTATTGTGGTTGGTGGATCTGTTTTCGGCTGTATGACTGTCAGGATAATTATTAAAGAAACCAAAGGTAGAATTTTTATAATAATAAACTATTCATGTTATTTAAGGTCACGAGACGTTTCCAAATGTTCGTATATTTGTTTAAATAATGAAGAAAATTTGATGTGAGAATCTTGTGGCAGCACCTGTAGTCAAGTTGCCAATTCATTAATATAATTATTTAAGTAACTACACATACAAAAAAATTAAAATTTCTTATGACCTTAAAGAACAATGAATAGTTTATTATTATAAAAATTCTACCTTTGGTTTGTTTAATAATTATCCTGACAGTCATACAGCCGAAAACAGATACACCAATCACAATCACCTTTACATACAGCCTTCCTTTACCAAGTATTGCCAGGTAAAATTGCGAGCACGAGACCCAGGGTGGGGTCGGTGCATCTTCGGCTGACTGTACCTTCTTGTCTCGTTAACTTCAACCAATATACAGTATAAGTCTTTTCTTAACTTGTAATTTTATGGAATAGCTTAACTCATTTAGAACTTTCAGATTTCTTAAGCATTTTTTTTATGAAATCCTTTTAAAAGATCCACAAACATCATCATAGATTTATGGGTTAGCCACGATGGCAGCTGCTGGGTAGGTAAAACCAGATTGGCACCCCCCCCACAATGCTTACCACTGAAGACCCAGAAAATACAGCAGAAACCAGGAGATGGGCACAGCTCTGGTGACTTGGTTGCCATCAGACATGTTACGACAAAGTTTAATGGTTGGCTGCCCTTCCTAAAACTAACCCACGGGATGAGAACAGCTGGTAAGGTAGGGTCATAACTCCCCGAGGTGAACAAAGACTACCCACTTTATAGTACAGTATTGTTGATGCTATATTTCATTATCTTATTACAGTGTATTTAATTATTTTTTTATGATTCTTCAGTCCAGATCTGCTAGAGACTGTCAGTTGATTGAGAACATTCAAAAGAGGGCTACCTAACTGGTGCCCGCACTCTGATACCTCAGCTACTTAAGAGATTAGAACACTTGTAGTTGCCTAGCTTATACTATAGATGGCCAATGGGTAATTTAATAGGAGATTTTAAGCACCTCGGAAGACATTACTCAGTTGAGTGTTCACACCTGGAATTAGCAGATGTCTGTCCCAATAGAGGCCATAGCTTCAGGTTGAAGAAGTGACAAGATAAGAAAATTGTCAGCACAAAGTTTTTTAGAATGAGAGGTTTGAACTCTTGTAATAAATTGCCAGAGAGTTGTGATGACAATGAGTGTGAACTCATTTAAAACCAGATTTAACCATCTCTGGCACAGTTACAGATATATTCTGGAGCAAGTACATGCCCTGCACTTGCCAACAATGCAAAACAGAGATGTGACTCAATGGCCAATTGGCTAACAGGCCAATTGGTGGCAAAGACAATATAGTCTCTCCTCGTCTTACGACAGGGTTCCGTCCCGACGACCAGGTCGTAAGTCGAAAATAATACCCTGTACGTACATAGAAATTCTAAAATGGGTGTCTCTTTTTCTTCTCAGCACCACGAGAACTCTCATTTTTACGCTTACCAGCCATTTTAAAGGGAAGTACAAAAAAAAATTTTGTCAGTACAGTACACAGCGCGATCACTAACGTCAGGACTCGAAAATACGTAATGTGAAAAATATTTTATATGACCATGGCCGTCGTATGTTCGGGTTGTCGTAAGTCGAATATGTCGTAAGTTGAGGAGAGACTGTAAGGTAAAGTACCGGTACTGTACAGGTATTCTGTTTTCCTATTTGTAGTGTTTGATTAGTATAAGTTTATTTGCGGTGTTCTTGTAGTGTAGCTGACAATGATACAGGTCATGGTATACTGTACATTACTCATAGTATATTAGTGGTTCATGTTTTTCTCGTGTTATATTTGTTGGGTCACAGGTGTGCACAATGCTCTTCACGCTGGTATCAGCTTCCTCCACTTATATGAACCTCATCCCTCTCACGGCTAACTACACTGGCCGTATGAAACTCATCGAGTATGCTATTGGTGAGTAATGACCTTACCTGCTGCATCACACACTTTTGTCACTTGGTGTTTTTGTAATCTAAAAATTATGTGAGTTTTGGAAATTACGCCAAACAGTGCCCACATCTTTTTGTAACTGGAAAATATTTTTTTGTGAGAATCAACATTATAGAATTGTGATATGCATAGACTGTAGTGTTTGACCATTACAAAATAAGAAGAGCTTGTGTACAGTGCCCCACTTTCACAAGATTAAAGTTATACTTATGATATTTATGTTAAATTGGTTGTTTTATGTATAGTTTTGGGTTACAGATACTGTACAATGTAGCAATACAAAAAATAACTGATGCCTCCATTAATACTTAATGAAATATAACTTTCAAGGAAACTATACCTAACTCCCACTTGGAGCCATGTTCTTATCAGTTGTCATTTTGCACACCACCATTTCCTACAGGTCACGTGTCTATTGCTTCATTAAACAATCAAGATTTCTCAACTGTGGCTGTAAAAGTGAGATTTGCCCGTCGCTATGGATTCTACCTCCTTACTCTATACAGCCCCACCACCCTTCTTATCTGTATTGCCTATGCAACTCTCTACTTCAACCCTGATGACTTTAACTCCCGCATTGTTGTTTGTCTCACCTCACTTCTTGTACTCTCATCACTCTACACACAGGTGGGTCTTGTCTCCATTTACTTTTCACACATTTAAGTACAGTATAGTTCTGTCTCATTTATAATACTGATTATTCTAGTACTGTACTGTATTTCCTCATTCATCACACAAGTCAGGATAGGGATTGGACAAGTTTGTATGAATCTTAAGGAGCTTTCTGAGACACTGACCAAAAAACATAAGGGTTTGCATTAAATTTGTTAATACATGTATAGTACTAGATTTTATCGCCTGCCTCCTGTTCTACTTCCATCCTATGAATATCACATGTATTAAAGCCTTCTCCAGTTTCAAAATTCATAACCCTGGAAGGAAGTTTGTTCCACGGATCCAAAGCAAAGTGTGTGAACGAATGCATTGTTTAACCCCAGTCAAGACTCATAGAGGCTGTGAGGATGTACAGGTACCTTGGTGATGTGATTTTTTTTTTTTGGCTGTATAAAGCTTCTAGATTATTTTAAAATCTTAAATGTCTCAGTCTGTTACCGTGAGGATGCTTTGTGGACGGATATATTTTGCTTCAAGTACAGACCCTGAGTGATGACCAACCTTGTGTCTTGCCTCTGAATATTCTCAAGAACCTACTTGTCTCTTTCTAAGTATGGTGATCTCATCTGGACCCAGTACTGTACTGTACGTACTCAATATATATTTAAAAAAATGCTATAACAAATCCATTGGAACTTTTCCTTCTTTTAGTATCATAGTTTGGAAGAGAGTGATAAAATTATAGTTAAAATTACTGTACTGTAGACTGGGCTGAATGCAAATTCTCCTATTTTCACTGATACTAACTAATCAAAAAAAAAAAAAAAAGTAAGAAAGATTAAAGAACTGTGTCCAAGATTACGATCACAGTTGAAGGAAATATACATCTTTGGGAAGCAGTTGTTGAGTGCAGGTCAAGTTAAAATAAATATTTATCTTAAGCAAGGACAAAAAGTTATCAAAAGTCATGATTAAAATAATGCAGTTGTCCAATTTTTATGCAAACAAATATTTTATGTAAATACTATTCTTATTTGGTCCCCCAGGTACAAATGGGTACAGTATATAAAATTAAATGCTTGCATGTAAAACACACAAGCATGTGTACAAAGATGTCAGTAATCTGTAGTTTGTAACAGATCCTTTAGGCCCGAATTCAGAACAGTAGTTGGAGCCTGGGATTTGAACCTGGCTCAGGCATGCGAATCAGGATTCCTCGAGCTGAGAATTCCTGCAGTGGATTACCCATATTCAGAACATCGGCTTGAACCCCAGATCGGGTAATCTGTTACAATTTCTTCAATTATGAGCAAGGATTCAAACACTGAAATTCCAACCAATCACATTTAATCTACACCATTACGACAGCCATTCATCATCGAGAGTAATGTTTACAAGGTTATGGTGGCAACTATGACTTGATGAATGTTTATGAAGGAGAAGAAATCTCTCCTTGCACATCAAAAGTTACTGTTATTACGATAATTACAATCAAATTATAAGGATTTATGGAACTGTGTTACAACGTGGCTGTGTTGTTATATGATAACAAAGAAATTCATAGAGGAAGAACAATTACATACAAATTGTAAATGTACAGTATAGTCTGCATTTACGCGGTCAATTGAACCCGTGGAGGTCCGCGTAAAACGAGAAACACGTAAACGAAATAACAGAACATATGGGATTTATTGAAATAGAGACTGGGCCGACTCCATAACTCCACTTTTTCCGACACAATACGTACCTTGTAGTAAATATAACATAATAATTTTATGATGGTATTGCTACACACATAATATCTAAATAAAAAACTACAAATCTAAAGGTGTTTAACACTTACGTTAGTATAAGAGTTGGGTCGGCACACGTGGATGGCGGCTGGTTCCGAGGCAGAGGGCAGAATAGTTGCCCTCCGGTGAATCACTTTCACTACTCGCAGAGGTTTGCAGGACCTCCCTGACAAACCCCTCAAAGTCCATATCCTCACTGTCACTATCACTGACTTGGGCTGGCTGTGGTTGTGGTGGGTTGCGGGCAAAGAAGTCCTTAATACTACGTTGACGACTAGCATTGATGTTATCGTGATAGATCTGGACATACGGCTCCATAATTTTTGACAGGTTATTAGACACTTCATACCGATGATTGACTGGGTCTTTGTCAAGGACGAGCTTGATTTTCTCCCCCACCTCGATGATTTCCTTCACATAACCATGGCTTGGCCCAGGTAATTCAAGGTTTTTCTGGGGTGGTGGGGGTCCAGCGGAAACCATTGTGGGGGTAATACCAGTGGGTACAAGAGAGAACTGTATACGCGGACTGAGAACAATGAGACTGGCCCGGCTAGGTCAGCGACTTCTGGTGGCAAGGCATGTCATGTTACATTAGACCAATCACTGCTAGCGGCGGAGGGAATGCGTGGGTGGTAAGGATGCGTGGCCCAATCACAGTCCGATACGTCATATGACGTCAGCGATAAAGTAAGAGCGACCCAATGCGCACAATGCCCGCGCCGCTTCCCGCGTAAATGATGAAATTCACCGCGTAATTAAAACATTTCATTCTGGCAAGGCACCGCGTAAATGACCAAATGCGTAAACAAAATCCGCGTAAATCCAGACTATACTGTAATCCAGGACAGATGTCAATATTCATAAGCAAAGCAAGATGAATCAATGCAAGGCATAGTAACCTTGTTAGGTTTGGTTAGGTTTCTTTCTGTTCGTTTAACCCCACATTTCCCCCGATAGTAATGTTAAGAAAAGACTTTCTTTTATTAATACATTAATATCAAAATGCACTCAGCATTGATTCAATTACTGTATATTGAAAATACATCAAAATAGTTTTCCTGAAGAAAAACACTCAAAATAAAGAATTTTTCTTACCCGGAAACTATTTGTTGTGAAGAATCTCAAAGTAATCATCAGCTGATGAATGGGAGGTAGATGCTTCATATCACGGAAAATATCAAGGAAATCTCCCTTGCTGAACCTATATTGTTATTTAAATTGCGTGTCATCATAAAAATTGATAGGATTCTGCCTATTTACCATCAGTCTTTTTTCTACAAAATTTCCATTTTGATGACATCGCCAAAAACTCGCTGTCAAAATTCATGTTGACTTGCTTGAGGGATGGACCGCCAAACTTGCCTCCAGGCTGGATTAACGAGAGGATCGACAATTCTGATCTCAAACCCAGTTTGAATCTTTGTGTTGGCTCAAGCCAGCGTTCTGAATACCAACAATCTTCAATCTTCGCTCGATACTTGGTTTAAACCTTAATGTGGTTTCAAGTCACTATTCTGATTCGGGCCTTAATGACTGTAAAATATGATGATGATGATGACTTTCTCATTACAGACTTCCAATTCTTTACCCAAGACATCATACTTTAAGCTCGTGGATGTGTGGCTCTTCTTCTCCATTGTGATGATTTTCATCATTGTCATGTTACAGACTCTGATAGATTTCTCCCATCAGAAAATGTTTGATGACAACAGCAAAGTAGTTAAGTTGTTTGTAAGTTTCATTGTATTATTAAAATTTATTTAAGTCATTCTCCACTCAAGTTATTGTTATTAGAGAAGATTTTGGTGATCCAAAGCTATCCAAATGCAAGGAATTCTGCCTGTGCATGTGAAATTTTTATTTAGTAAAATATGATTGTATGGTTGTTGAAAACATTTAGCTTTTGATGAAAACCATACTGTACAGTCCCTATATGTATGTTATCAGAGTACAGTGAGTTCTGCTATAACGCGTGTTTTGATAACGCGAATTTGCTCTAACGCGATTTATGAATTCGGAACAATATTTGTATAACGCGAACGCTTGTTTGCTATAACGCGATTTTTGCTTACTATTTCTCCAATTTTGTGGTATTAACTGTGAATATGGTAAAGAAGAATATCTCCAAAAAGCGTTCTGATGATAGAATTCCCGGTGATTATCGTAAAAGAAAGGATATAACACTTGAAGAGAAGCTCGATGTTATCAACCTCAAAATCACCCTTCTCCCCCATCAAGTTACATTCATATTTTTTCAAGGTAAAGTGTTAATTTACTGTATGATTTCATTATTAGATATGAATGTAACATTTATTTAGACTGTGCTATCCTTTGTGTTAGGCTAACTACTAAATTTTTTCGATTTCGAGTAATCTGCACCTAACCCTATTTTCTCCATAAGCTCTGTTATTTCTATTACGCGATTTTCTATAACACGATATTTTACAAGAACACAATTATCGCGTTATAGCAGAACTACCTGTATACCTAAATTTTCCACTTCTTGACTATGGTTATCTGCTTCATTAACTTTTGCATTAATTCCTCTCATTTAGACAGTACTGTACCTGTGCATTTAGTGTACAGTACAAAGTGGACATGTGTATTTGCGATTGTTCTATGTACTGTACCTTCAGCAGTTTAGAAATGGGGATCATTCCATCAGCATCAATGAGGTTGACTTCACTGTCACAATGCTTTAATAGTGTACAGCAGGCACGGGCAACCAATGCAAACCATGTCTGGCCCGCAGAGTAATTGAGAAATTCTATTAAATGTGGCCCACGGTTCAGGTAGATACACCCAGTTTATGGTGAGGAAAGCAATATTTATTAAAAGAATAATCTTCACACATAATTCATTACTGTTTCATCACCCAAGAGTAAGTTACTGCGAAAATGTAACAGTGAAATACTGTAGTCAACAATATAAAATTTTAACTTGTGTGAGTTTACCAGGGGCAGATCCAGGAATATCAAAAAAGTTGTGGGTGGGGGAACATGGCAGGTACAGCAAGTCCACCCAGCTGGAGGTTTTGAAATCAGACCAATATCATAGGCATTTTGAAGCCATTTTGAAGCCATGTGCACTTGATATTAGGAGATATTCTTATGTCAATACTATTTTCTTTTAACTATACAAAAATGCCTGAGTACAATACTACATTAAAGAAAAGGTATTGGAATGTTCTGATGAAAATGGGGGTCCTGACAACCTCCCCTCCCCCCTGGATCCACCACAATTTACGGGCCAAGTTCAGCGCAGTCTGTTTGATGGACTAGTTTCTATGTACAGTAGCAGTGGGTCACTTGAGAATTAGCTGAGGTTGGTTAAGTCCAAGGGCAGTTGTTTCATTGTAGTTCCTCATGAACCAAGCTTAACATTGACATTATTCTGGTGGATGTGTCTCATAAGTAAGAAAAATGCTGTAACTGTAGGAAAAATCAACATATTCAAAGACTGCTTCACTCATCTTGTTAAATGCCAAGAAATTTTAACAAACTACTTAAGCAATTATTATGATGGATTTGTTTCATAAATGGGGAAAAAGACTGTGATGGGAACTGAAAATATTGTAAGGTGGATGTGACGATAAACTTCTTCACTGTCCTCGCTAATACAATACAGTGGTCCCTCGGTTAACGAACGGTTCGATTAACGAAATTTCGGTTAACGAATTGCCTCCCATAAGGCTCTGTTAGTGAACAAAACTTGGATTTACGAAAATCCTTATGACAAACACGTTTTGTTGTGAGCATCAGCTGATGGGCTTGTCTGTCTATTCAGTAATCTGTTCTATGTTTATATTCGTTTCCAGTGGAGTAAATATCAAGAAAGTTGTGCTCTTTAATATTTTTGCATTTTTTATATTAAAATTATTAGTCATTTTAAAATTTAGTTAACATATTGATAATGTATGCAGTACAGGGAACTAGTTTTTTGTGCACCCATCAGTCGCTTGACTCACCCACCAGGCGTCAGTTTGGCTTTGTTTACAGTGGATTGAACATCGATTTTGTTGGTGTCTTGAATATTTTTGCATTTTTACATTAAAATTATTGGTCATTCTGAAATTTAGTTAACATATTGATAATATATAGTGCAGTGCAGTGCAGGAACCTTCTACATACACACCTCAAAGTAAGTGTACTTTACTGCATTATTTTTTTTACTTTGTATGTACCTTTCTGTGAGCTGGAACCACTTACCCAATATCCCATTGAAACAATGGATTCAGTTAACGAACGACTCTGTGGAACAAATTGTGTTTGTTAACTGAGGGACCACTGTATTAACATTACTTTTGGGTTAGGTAGGATATCAATTTTGGTGGGTTGGCCTGCAGAAAAAACACCTTAGTCATAATGTGGCCCATGACTAAGGAAAGGTTGCCCATGCCTGGTGTACAGTACAGTACAGTATGGGTGTTACTTAACAAAGTGACTCATAATCACATTGGTTAAATCTTTAGCCCAATCAGTCTATTATTTGTTACATCATTTATTTATATATATACAGTATATATTTTTGGTGAGGGGGAGGGGTGCATTTGCAAGTTTTCAGTTATAAGAAAACCATAAAATTATTAAATCACAGTGAAGTACAAACATGAGAGTTTTGTTTTACAGTACTGTACAGTACAGTACTCTGAACACATTGTTACAGGTCTATTTTTTATAAATTAAATTTTTTAAATGTTGTCCTTAACTACTGATGCACTCCCTGCAGTGAACCAAAACACTATTCATCGCTACTTGCAGTGTGATATGTTGCAGAACTTTCTTATTCCAGAATTGCAACATAAAAACATAGTGCTTGGAAACACACGGTTTCAACAAGATGAGGCAACATGTTATACTGCCAGAATTGTTATGTGGGGATTCTTAAAGAGTCAGGTGTACAAGACACACCCTAAAACTAGAGATGACCTAAAAATCAGGATCACAGACGTCATTGCTACTATCCAACATGAAACACTGCAAGTAGTGATGTACAGTGTTCTGGTTATCTGCAGGGAGTGCATCATTTGTAATGAAAAACATTTAACAATTTTAATTTATAAAAAGTAGACCTGTAATAATGAGTTCAGAAGTAAAATAAAACTCCCATGTTTGTACATCACAGTGATTTAATAAAATTATGGTTTTCTTTAGCAACCTCTGTTTTATTACACACATATTTATACAAGGTTATCAATATTTGTAATAATACCTTACTCATTTTCAGAGGAGTATACACATGCTTTATTATAAAGTTACAAGAAAGTCAATTGATAAAATAAATTCAGCATATCTTAGGGATCATCACCTAAAAACAAATGTAAATGTTATCAAAATTGATGTAAGCAGTTGCCAACGTAGAGAGAAAGTCTCTGAAACTCAGAATGGGAACTGGATGAATAACAAGACTGAACATCCGGAGTCGAGTACAGATATCCAGAAGCCTGAGGTGGTTCGGCATTTACCAGTATATGGACGTGCTTTTCGGAGGCAAAATTGGTCGGAAAATCAAGATGTTAATATGGCTCTAATGAAGAAGAGCCGAATCATGATACCCATCATCTTCTTTATATTCAATTGCATTTACTGGGGAACAGCTATCAAGTATGTATTTCCTGCTTTTCTATTAATACTTTGAGATGAACTGTATTTTGTTACTTTGGTTTTATACTACACAAGAAATTAAAAAAGGGGCATTGTAAAGGGGACAGTTGTTTAGAATATAGGTAAACCTCTATTTATAATGGGGTTGTGTTCCTGAAAACCCAATCGCAGGTCAAAATATTGTAAATCAGGTTCATTATTACATGCAGTTCAATGGGATAGTTCCTGGACAGTCGGACACCCTTTTGTATCACTGAAAAAATAAAAAATTGGATATTACTAGCACTACAACATAATTAAACAACACTCACCAAATCATTATGAACAAGTCTGGTCATCACCACATGTCCTCTTCGAGGCTATAGACACAGTGGGGACTGGAGGCATAGCCTTCATTCTGGACTTAAAGATGGTGTAGCACTTGAATAAGACTGAAGAGGTGTCAGGTGAGGAGGGTTCTGCATGGCGGGTGACCCCAGAAGTTGAGGGTAGTGGCTGTGACTATGACAGGGTCTTGAAAAAGGAGGTGATTGTTGTCTGGTGTGCCTCCTTCTTTTGCAGGAACAACTCCCTGTAGCACATGTCTTTCTCCACAAGTGCCCTCACAGAGGAACTCCTGTTAAAGTTGGAGACTTTCTCAGCCAACAGATCCATGGGAGTGTTCACTTGGTCCATGGTAGTGCTCAACACCTTCAGAGTCAACATCATGGGTGCAGGGTTGTTTTCCTGACCTGCTGACTCCTCCACTCCTTGCTGCTGTTCCTGGAGCAGCAAGTCCTCGGTGCTGAACTCCTCAGTGGCTCTGTAAAACTCTGCCATTCTCCTCATTGACCTCCTCAAAGCTGGCCTCCTTGGAGATGCTGTTGATGTCATGGTGTACAGCTACATTTGTGAAGTCGCCAAAGTTGGTTAGTACACTGTACATGCTCAGGCCACACTTTCCTCCACACACTGTTCATGCAGCTGTGTGACTTCCTTCCACAACTTGTCAATGTTGTGCATTTGTGCATGGCATGCTTGATGTTGTAGCTGCGCCAGAATGTTTTGATGGTCGGCTTTCTCTCTTCATCTGTCGCCTCAAACAACTGCATCATCAACTACCTCAAGCAGTAGGCCTTGAAGGCGGCAATGACACCTTGATCCATCAGCTGAATGAGTTAGGTGGTGTTGAAGGGCAGGAACATCACAGTGATGTTGTGTCTACTCACCCATGGTAGGCGGGTGTGAAGGTGCATTGTCGAGGATCAGGAGAAACTTGTTAGTGAAGTTCTGCTCATCGGCATACTCCTTGAGGTGCTTGGAGAGGTAGCCAACCACATAACTCTGGCACAACACCGTCATAACCCAGGCCTTTTTGTTGGAGCACCAGATAACTGGAAGGTGCTCCTTAGTACACCCCTAAAGAGCTGTAGGGGTCTCTGAGTGGTAAACCAGCATTGGAGTCAGCTAAAAGTTCCCCTCAGCATTGCCTCCAAGCAGCAATGTAAGGCGGTCCTTGGCAACCTTAAAGCCTGGTGCAGTCTTCTACTCCTTGGCCAGGAAAGTCCTCGATGACATCCTCTTTCAAAACAGGACCTGCTTGGCGTTGTATCCTTCTTCCTCCACCTTAGTCTTCAAGAGTGCTGGGAAGGTGTTACCACTCACGACGTCAGCACTGGCTGCCTCACCAGTCAGGCGAAGATTGTGGAGATTGCCGTAGTTTTTGAACCATTGAAACCACCCAAGACTTGAAAGAGGAAAAGGTTTCACTGCCACTGCTTTCTGCCTTCAGCTTTGTTCAAATATTGGTGGCCTTTGCCATGATGATCCCTGTGAAGTGAGGAAAGCAGTGTCGATTCTGGTTTTGAATCCAGTCTTGGAGTAGATTCCCCTCTCTATGATAGGCTCATGTCTCTTTAATGCCCTAGAAATGAAGAGTAGGTTCACGTTCTGTGATGAGGCAATCTGGTACCTTCATAATGATGGTAAACACCGTTGACTGGACCAGGCCAAGAGTGCAAGAAATATAGCATGCTCCTTCACAATGTCAAGTTTTGCCCTCCAGAGACATAGTTTTCCTGGGTGCTTTGGTCTTCCCAAATTCAGAATTCTGAACAAAATGCTTGCCAGACATTTTCAAAGTTACACTTCTCAATTCACTGTCTCAAAAACAAAGAGAAATCACTTCACAGTCACTAAAGCAGAGAAAACACTTCACAGTCACTAAATCTGAGTACATGTACTGTACCTGTATAGTACAGTACACTGAAACTTTGTAATTTCTGCTAACTGTAAGAAAAACAATGATAACAAAAATATTGATACTGGTTGCTGCTGCTCACCTCGTGTTCACAGAGCCAAAGCATTATTCAGTGACAAAAAAATTAGCAAAAAATCACTTGTCACCAAAACAGAGTACAATATGAACTTTAGTGGTGTCCTCTCACTGTAAGGTTAAAAAAAAAAAAAAAAAAACATCAATGCTAAATGACAACATCTATGATGACCAATAAACATTGAGCTCCATTTCTCACACACATGTAACCAAGAATAAACACTGGCTGAACTGTGGCTCTCCAAATGGCCATGAGGCAGTGTTCGGGTAGATAACACCTCAGCAGACAAATGGAGTGATGCGTTCCATATTCCGAGTTGGCGGGATGATGAATATCGTTAATGCGAGTTTGTTTACATTGCAAATAGGGGAGTGGTCTTAATATATCAGCATTGTTAACACGAATTATTGTAGATTGGGATATCATAAATAGAGGTTTATCTGTACTGTACGGGTCATTTCGGTGAAATGACAGGAAAAATTTGGATGAGAATGAAAGGGCAATATGAGAGATGTTCTGTCCAGTCCTAAAATACTGAATTCTTTTAACCCACCGAGGTGCAGGAGTTTATCCTAGCTGAATAAAATCTCTGGTGTCAGCCGCCATTGCCACAATGTGTATAAATTAAAGTTCTAATCGAATCTTGAATCATTAGTAGATGAATGCCAGTAGGATAGTGCCAAACAAATGTCTTGTCAGATTTGGTAATAGATAACAATTGTCATAAAACAGGAGTAATTCTATTGGGGTACAATGATGTCCTTACCTTAACAACAGAAATATTATATATTTACTGTACTGTATTCTTCTTTTGCAGATATGTAAAAACCATTGAAGCTGACAGTGGTGATGTGTAGAGGCTTTGGTATGTAGTGATATTTAAAGGTATTGGTTTATTTGGAGTAGTGGGAGAGAAATAAATATAAAAGATATCAAATAATATATATTGTACCTGTACTATAAGGTATATTTTGTAGAATTCATGGTTATTATTATTAAAGACTAAAAGATATAAACCTAACACAAGATGGTAGAAATTACTGTACAGTATTCACACTTGTGTAGTCCAGTCAAATGACTGTAACTGTGTATTATTTTCTGAGGATGTGGGGTCTCCTCACCATACCTTTATGCTGGTAGTCATGTTAAAAAAGAAAGAAAAATTAATACTGTATTGTATACAGAATAATTATTGGGAAGATACAAATACTTTATAAAGTACTGTACTACAGTATATTTAGAAAAAGTTCATTGCAGCTCGGTACACATTGCACAGTACTGTATAGTATTTTATTATACCAGTATATGCTGTTATTCATTAGACACTGTACTTGAAGATGAGAGAACTATACTTAATGTCCTTTAAGCACAGAGTTAACCACAGGTACAGAAAGGAAGAAGCATTGGTAATTACTTTATTACAAAAGCCCCCATAGAAATGTGAAAATGTAATGAGATAATGTTTAAAGCAACTGTAAGTATTCAAGTTAGTTATGAACTTTTTGTTGTGACCTGCCAGGTCCCTTCTTTAGAGGTACAAACAAAATGTGGCTTATTCTCTTTTTTAGCCAGTTCCCTCATGTAAGCTGGACTTTATCCAAAATGTTAAGAAAAGGATTATTAATTGTTGTTGTACTGTATATGGAGAAACAGTAAGCATAAGGTGTAACTTGTTCTATTCTCATAGCCACACATAAATGTGAATACAGTACATGTAATGCCAGTTGGGGTGCATGCTTGTTTTTCACTCAATACACTTCATCGCACTTCAGTAAATTTTTTTTGTAATGAATGAATTAACTGGATGTTAACCCTTTCAGCAACTATTATGTGCCAATCTCTATGCTATTCACCCCACACACACACACAATAGTGGGAGAGGAAGAGTAAAGATATTGAACACACAGAGGAGTAGATTCAGCTCAAAGGTGGCACCATACACAAGGGGTTAAGAGAATGTGTGTGCAATTTGCTCTGGATTCCAGCTCCTTGTATTAGACAGTAAATGGCTTGATAGGGTATAAGAAATTTAACACTTGTTCATTGAAGATATGTAGCCTACAGTAGAATGTTGGAAAAAAATAAAATAAAAATTTTCACTACTACTGTACTGTACTGTCATTTAATTTTATATGCAGTCAAGCAAAGATGCATTGACCCCACCCTGGCTCTTGTACTTGCAATTTTACCTGGCAATACTGTATGTAAGGCCGAGGCTGCACTGAGAGCAGGCAAGTGTTGTTGCCAGCTCACGCCTGATGCCAGTGCGGCCACATCTATGGGTTACAATGTTTCAAAGTTTTCGACGCCCGCCCGCTCTCAGTGCAGCCGTGGCCTAATGGAGATTGTGATTGGTGGATTTATTTTTTGGCTGTATCACTGTCAGAATAAATATTGAGCAATCTAAATGTAGCATTTTTATAATAAACTATTCATCATTATTTAAGATCATGAGAAGTTTCCAAATGTTCGTATATTTGCTTAAATAACGAAGAAAATCATATTAATGAATTAGCAATGCAACTACAACCAGAGTTGCCACAATATCCTTGCATTAAATTTCAAGAGTACATATTACACATTTAATCTACGAGTGTTTCATGAAGGAATTTAATCTTTTTACAATGAGAATTTTATATAAAATAATTTTACATTAAGTTAGAGGGCAGACACTGTGAAATAGGCTCAACTAACACATGCGCCCAACGTATTGCCAGGTTAAATTGCGAGTGTGAGAACCAGGGTGGGGTCAATGCATTTTTGGATGACATGTACAAACTACTACAGTACACTACTCAATATTCTAGAATAAACACTTCTATTTCATTACTATATTTTAATCCTTTTTTTAGTATAATCATCATCACCATTTTATAGCCATTCTCCATGTGAGTTAGCTGTGATTATCTTAAGGCATGGTGTCCAGTTTACCATCACACAAATTTGATGTATGGTAAATTTTGCAGCTGGATGCATTTCCTATTGCCAACCACGGGGGTTAGATTCTTGAAAAACAGTGATTGGCAAATCCGTAGTTGGCGAGACTAAAAGATTATGGGAAATAGGGGGTTAGGTTCCACTGCCACAGATAACACTTGTCAAAGCCGCCTAACCAAGTTGCCTGTTCCTTCATTACAACTTGTTTTTGCCTTGCAAAAATTTGTTTTTACCTGAAAATAGAGTCCTGCATATAAATCACCCACATTTAACCCCTACGCCCCAGGCTAGGGTGCTGCTGGCCATGTCCTTCCCATGTGGGGATGAATCGAGAGAAATCAAACTTTTCAAAAAATAATGTTTAACCTTTTTAAATGATAAAACGATCAAAACGAAGTAGGAAAACTATACAGCTCTTCCCCAACTTACGACAGGGTTAGGGACCCAAATCCAGGTCTTAAGTCGAAAATGCTTAAATAATCCAGAAAACCTAAAATGGGTGTCTCCTTTTCTTCTCAGCACCACAAAACTCTCACTTTTAAGCTTGCCAGCCATTTTACAGTGAATTACAAACGAAAATTTTGTCAGTACACAGCGCAATCACTGACGTTGGGACTCGAAAATACGTAATTTGATAAAATTTTGATACGACTGAGAAGGTCGTAAGTCGGGGAGGAGCTGTATATTGACCCTCTAGAAACTTCCCTGTAGCAGCAGTGGCGAGGGAGATAAAGGAACAGTGTTGTTTTGACAGATGACGCTCATGGTCACTATGCACTTAGCAACCATTTTCTGCTTGCCCTTGTGTCCGGGATGGCCAATAATGCACATATTTACTGATCATAATAATTATTTCCTATAAATAATTTATTTAGAGTATTTTATTTGCTTTCTTTTTCATAAAAAAGTGCTCAACAACACACACGCAGTCTGTCTCCAGGCTGTCTTTGTGTTTGGTAGAGCAAGTAATGCATAAAATAATAATAATTCCACAAATAAATACATTTATAACATAATCATAGCATTATTTTCTAGTAATACTACTCTACAATACAACTTCTGTACACTACTTTTAGCAATATTACTTTGATACAACATGATAAAATGGACAAACAATGAAAATGAAACAAATAAAAGTAGGTAATTACGTTCAGGAAGCTTCCCTGTGGCCAAGCGTGTGGCGTGACAGGCAAATAGCCACACTGAAACCTAATAACCCGCACTGGGCATTTAAACAGTGGTGGGAAAAAGCATGCGTTCCAGAACATCACCCGGGGCGTAAGGGTTAAAAATAAAATTTTCTGGCCTAAAGTGATTCTTATAGTCATGGTCCACTGTATAGTAATGTACAAATATACACACAAAGACATGAATACACCACACATGCATGCTCTCAGTATACTGCCAGATTCTGGGGTCACTAAGTCTAAGGGATAACTTAACTCTAATCTTAATTTCTAAGGGTCGCTGCCACCAGACCCCCTCTCGGCAGCATGTAGCTCGTTAGGTAGCGGGCAGAGTGGACTAGGCATTGGGTTAGGTTTTCCATTGACCAGATCGATAAGGGTAAAGAAGGGTGAAACCATAACATGTCTTAATTGATTTATTCCTTATAAAACATACTGGTAAAAAACACATACAACCACACTGTGGACCATAACTCCAAGGCCTGTCCCAGGGTATAGCACTGGCGCCTCTAACAACTGCTGTTGTGGTCGGTTACACTCCGACCCGAGGTGGGTTTGGGGTCCTCGGCAACGAGGTAGAGTAGAGCCGATTAATCATGCCGAATCAGCGCCATCACTCCTATATTGACCACTGCTGGGTATCCACCGGCTCCGAGCGACCGGTGGGTTTCAATTAAGCCCACCCTCGATCTGGAGACAAACGGGGCAGCGTCAGGGGACGCGCTCCCTGGCCATCTTGAGTTTATATACCCCTGAGTTGCCAGTGATCGCTACTCACGCAATGACAATAATCACAAACAAACTAACTGTTACTCATTCAAAGCTCACCCTCAGTTGACAAAGGTCTGGCGAATTACTAAAGTTGATTTAAACAGACTAATTCAAGGTTGCGTTTGCCAGTAGAGAGTGCAATAAACGTAGTGACAACTGTGTTCGAAGGCGGGACTTACTGAGAGTGATCCTGAGGGTAAAAAGATGGGAAATACACGTCTCTCCTGAGATTCTACAAGCGCGGTGGATTTGAATATTATGTAGCGTAATATGAATTAAAACGGGTTTTTAGAAATGACAATGAGGTGCGCAGTACATCAGACACAGGAATTAAGATAAGGGGTAACTTGCAGAATCTCCCTAAGGACAATAAGACAACCAATAAGAATGTTGGTGGTAATTATTGTGTTTTACAAAAATAGATCCAGCATTATTTCATTTCTACAAATATATGAAATCCTGCAAAATAACATTGTAAAGATAGCATTTGGAATGGGCATGAAGTGCCAGTTCAGTATGTTCACTCAAAAAATAAATAAAAAAATGCTAGTCTCTTTGGTTATACTGTACAGTATAATAATTATACCTGTACTGTATGTGCTATACAGTTGAGAACACAACAGCCAAAAAAGGGGCAAAACACTCGCTGTACATTAATATGCATGTTAGAAAGTACACTCGAGTTCAGGGATACAATGAACACGGTTGAATGCAACACATTGTTTAACCCCTAAGGTTTCGGTTCACATCATATGACGTTTAGTAATTTTGCAGTACCTGTACCATTTGAATTGTTACGCAGGCCTGGCTAAATTACGCTGTCAAGTAGGCATTTACCTTTCACTCACTCATACATGTGACCCCCAGTCTTCCTGCTCAGCTTTTGTGATGGTCAAGATCTCGTCCTTTGACTTCACGTGCCTCACCACATGTTTCTACCCCCCAACCCCAAGCACTGGTATAGTATGGGACTCTTGGCCGTCAGGAGATATGTGATCAATCACTGGAGGCAGTATTAATACAGGTTGACAATCCCTTATCTGAAATCCTTGGGGCCAGATGTGTTTTGGATTTTGGAATTTTTTGGATTTCAGAATGGTTAGGTTAGGGTGTATTTTTTTATTACAGGGATTAGCCCACCCATGCACAGGTCATAGAACCACACCAGGGCCCGGGGGGCGAAAATATAGTAATAATAATAATAATAATTCATAGGTCATGTTTCTCACTTTTGATCTTTTTTTTTTTCATTCTTGTATTTCTTTTATTATTATTATTATTATTATTATTATTATTATTATTATTATTTTACTATTATTTTTATTGTTAATGTTATTATTATATTATTTTAGTGTATTTTTTATTATGAATTTTATTTACTATGAATGATTATTTTTATTATTATTATTATTATTATTATTATTATTATTATTATTATTATTATTATTATTATTATTATTATTATTATTATTACTACTACTACTACTACTACTACTACTACATTTCGCCCCCAGACCCCAATGTAGGTCAGTGACCTGTGCCCGGGTGGGCTAATCCCATATAAAAAAAAAAAAAAAAAAAAAAAAAAAAAAATTATGTTTTGCTCCACTAAAAAACTTTCGGTTTTCAGAGGTTTATGGTTTTTGGAATTTCGGACAAGGGATTGTCAACCTGTACAGTACAGTCAACCCTCACTTTACACGGTTAATTCAACCCACAGGGTACCGCGGAAAGTGAGAAACACGTAAAGTGAACAACATAACATATGGGATTAATTGAAATAGAGACCGGGCGGACCCCCAAACTCCACTTTTTGACGACACACAACTATGTTGTAGTAAAAATATTATCTTAACTTTATGATGGTATGCACACACAATTAATAATTAAGAGTAATATCAATAATATTAGGTTTTTTAACACTTACATTAGTAGAAATGATGGCTGGGCACACGGGGATGGGCGGTTGGTTCCAAGGCAGAGGGCAGATTATTGGCCCTCACCCGTATCACTTGTATCAATTGTATCACTATCCACCACAGAGGCTTGCAGGGCCTCTTTGTCAAACCCCTCAAAGTCCATATCCTCACTATAATTATCACTATCACTGACTTGGGCCGGCTGTGGTGGGTGGCGGGTGAAGAACTCGGTAATGTTTTGATGACTGGGCGACCTTGTGCGCACCATGCTCACGCCGCTTACACAACATGGCGGATGGCGGGAGGTTTGGATCCAAAAATGACGCGGCTCGCCAGCCGCTCTCCGCGTAAAGGGGTACACGCACCGCGGAATGTGAGTAGTATTCCTGTTTCGGCAGGGTACCGCGGAATGTGGGACCGCGTAAAGCGAGGGTTGACTGTAATTGTAAATTGTAATGTCGTAACATAAGAAAACAAGTGTTGTGTACCTTATACTCCCTCACACACAAGAATTGGAGATTAGGCTGATTATGTAGGAGTCAGGTGAAAACAAAAACAGATTGAATACTTTCTCATTAGGAAATCAGATAGGAAGCTTTTACGAATGTAAATGTAATAATAGAGGAAGGATGTATACCCACTAAAAAATTATTCGGCACCCGTGTCATATTGTATCACGCCGTAAGGGTGCCAAAATTTTTTTATTGGGTGTACATGTATACATGTCTGTGTGTGTTTACAAGTATCATGTACACCCACTAAAAAATTATTCGGTACCCTTACGGCGTGATACAATATGACACGGATGCCGAATAATTTTTTAGTGGGTGTACCTTGCAACACAAATTGCTTGTGTGTGACATGTTGCTTATCCTTAAATAGTGTAGAGAAAGGTAATTGCATGTTCTAAGGAGAGTGTTGAAGCTAAAGGAACAGAATATAGAAGCATTTTATATTGAACTGAGAAGACTGGAAACACCCAGTGACAGTGAGAGGTGTAGTGCAGCAAGATGCTGGGCTAAAATAAAGGATGTTCCGCTAGGCGTAGCTGGATGAAAGGCCCAGTCTGTGATGCAGTAACGTGGTGGAACAATGAAGTAAATAAAGTAATAAAAAAGAAAAGAAATGGTATAGGTTAAAGCCTGTTGGTGGAACTGGCCACATGTGTAGGTGGGTAGATGGCAGGAAGTTGCTGACTTTCTGTATGTACAGGTAACCATATGCTCACAGCAAGGTCAGAACAACAAAACATTGGGGTTATGTGTCTGGACTGTGTCAATGAGCTGTGTTACTTGGGTGACATGATCAGTGCTGGAGGTAGTGCTGAAACATGCTCAGTTGTAAGAGTCAGAAGTGGCTGGAGGAAATTTAAGGAGCTACTGCCTTTATTGACGACAAAAGAGTTATGTTCCACACTCATGTGGTTTAGCCATAATTATTTTATGGCAGCTGTCAAGTAAAATCAGAACATGACCCCACCCCCCCCTCCATTAAGCTAGCCAGCATGTTGAAGTAAAGTTTTATGACTGGATGTCCTTCCTAACAACAGCCCACAAGGGTGGAAACAGCTGGCAAGGCTGGGTCACAAAGCCCTGGGGTAACCAGTATAGATAAATAGCAACAACTAACCTCACCTGGGCAGGGTAGATTATAACAAATTGTTGTTTGAGGAACATTTGCACCATGAAGCAAACAATACAAACCATTTGATATGATTCAGAAAAAGAATCCCTTTGTGCTAGGCTAGAAATCTTTTGAGGTGGCCAAAAGTGGAAATTGTGATTGGTAAAACGGTTACTAAATATAAAACGTGGATATTAAAAAGGGGGTTGGTGAGAGATTAACTTACTGAAGAAAACTATAAATGTTTTATTAAGATACTAGTAAATGGCATGAAGGTAGGTTATGGTGTACTCACACAATCTTGAAAAAAATTTAGCTAGTCGAATGGGTATCCAATTTGACAGACACGAATCCAGCTCGCTTAAGTCAGTGACTAGACAAAAATAAGATTGTCATTAACAAAAAAAGTGCATAAATCCCATGCTTCTGATACACTGCAATACTGAGCTGTCATACTCATTTTAACTATTAAATTATATAAATAAACTGTTTTTGCTGATAAAACAACTGATCTAGTGACACTAGGCCAATATGCTGGAATAAATGTTCACTCAACTGGATGTACTGCAATGGTCATTCAAGTCAAGTGTGTTGAGCATTGACATAATTTTTCTCTTTATGCTAAGCTTGATAATGCAGTTGCTGTCTACTTTCTGTAGTTTTCAGTTTAAACATTGATGCAAAAAAATAAAAAACAATACTTTTGGTACCAAAATTAAGAGATACTAGATGTGCGGGATACACACAAAACCATAACGCCTTGATATCAAACATTTGATCTCATTCTCAAGTAAAACTTGATTTTTCAGCCTAATCTTTGATTATATGAAACTATAGCCAAAGTAGACAGGAAGCTTACCGTATACTATAGAATTTACAGTATCTAAGCAAAATAGAGAAGAATCATTGTTCACAATTTCTATTATTGTACTATAATCAGAGAAAACGCTTCTAATAAATCTTTCTCAACAATTTTCTTAGTCATATCTGAAAGAAAAGACAATAAGACAGTACAATACTATAAGACTATGTACAATATATGAATCTAATCTTTTTATAATTCTCATATAAAGATTTACCATTTCAGACCACAGTACAGTATAGGTTTTTTTACATAAACTTAGCTAAAATTAATGATAATGAAGATAAATATCTAACTCAGTGTACAGTGCATTCAAAATCACTAATTTTAGAAAATGATTACAATGTCCTTATTGTATTGCACAGACCATTTCAAAACTACATGAAAGGTAAATTTATCGATGTCACTCAGAGTTGGTATATCCCACACTGAAAAGTTGTTAGTTCGCGAAAATATTTATACAACCTTTGGCTCCTGGTGACCTTATCTTTCAGTAGTTGGTCCAACCTTTGTTGAAGGCTTTCACATGTTGGCTTGGCTACTGTGTGAGGGGGACAATCACCAGTTCATTATATACTGTATAGTACTTTACTGAGAAAGTAGGACATAATGAAAGAATGATATCTGCATTATCCAACCAACTCATAGTGGAAAGTTGTCATGGGTTGCGTTAGGCTTACCCACGCAACCAACTCCAAAGTTTGTTTTACCAGAGATAAGACGCCCGGCGAGGCATAACTGGGACATGTATTTTTCAATTAGTGTATGTTAGCCAGCCTTTAGGGGGGTGGGCAGTGAAACAGTGTTGTACTGTTCATCGCTTCACACCCAAAAACCTCATTTTGAGTAGTACCCCCTGAGCCATGGGTTAGTTAAGACGTCGTCTCCATCCTCTCCCTCCTGAAAGGGGGCGGGACACCACACCACACAGAGTCCACCGCCACTCCGTCCTGTGAACCGTCGTCGACACGAGACTAAGTGTGTTAACCTAGGTTGTTATCCCCGTGGAAATATCACGTGTGGATGCCTGGTTGCGACAAGAGCAATCCAGGCTGGCCTATCAAACCTACAGTAAATGGTTAATTAATTCACGCTTACAGAGTTCTCCTGCACGACACCCGTCTACTGTGACCGTGATCGACACGAGACTAAGTGTGTTAACCTAGGTTTGTTATCCCCGTGGAAATATCACGTGTGGAAGCCTGGTTGCGACGAAAGCAATCCAGGCTGGTCTATTGCACCTAAATGGTTAATTCAAGTCACGCTTACCAGTTCTCCTTGCCGCGACAACCGTCTACCGTGACTGTCAGTGACGCGAGACTATGTGTGGTAAACCAAGAGTACTTTTTGTTGCTGTGGCCCGTGGAAAGAAGTTCTTGTGCGGATGCCTGGTTGCAACAAAAGCAATCCAGGCTGGCAGTAAATGTATCACTTGAAGAATTAAGGCTCTGTTAAGTTATACCCATAGTAGAGTAATCACATGTGTCCCCAAGTTAAAATTCTCTTTTAGAAGATTAATTTTATTACAGCGTGAACGTGAGTGAATCATATATCCATGCAAATTGTAAATCATTGTATGGAAGCTTGACAAATAAATGTAAGTGCAATTATCTGCCCGTATCTGTGATCCTATCTTATTATTACTAAAGGTAATGACTGATTGGTTATGACAAAGTATAACCAGTAACTTAGATAGATGTTGAAAATTAAATGAATTCATTAAATCATCATTTATCAAGTATAAATCATGGAATGTCGAGTGGTGGAGTGAACTTCTACGTAGATACGCCATAATCTCCTGTAAGTAATCAGTGTGAAGGTATCAAACTCTACGGTAAGAAATAAGAAATACGACATATTATTATCTTTATATAACATAATCCACTCCTACTACCACGGATACAACCAAAACCATGACAAAAGTTAAATGAAGGGAAGTACAATAAAACTGGAAAGTAAAGACTAAAGAAAAACAGTGACATATACAGTTTCCCCCAAAGGTATCGGCCCCTTTTCTCATCGATACAATGTGTCACACTGGACAAATATTTCCGATCACTAATTGTGATTCCTGCTTTATGTTGGTAGGCCTGCCTTCCTAGTATCTGTGAGACTGCCAGTTATTATTTCTGGCATTTGTTGTAATTGTGGTGAATCACCGTGCTACATCTTTAGTCAAATAATATAATGATATTAATGTCGCGAAAATATATCAACGGCAGTCAAACAGTGGGCGTTTTCTGCTGTAAATCCATGACCAACACTAGTATCTGAGACTCACTGGAAAACACAGCTCGCACCGACAGACGTCATCTCGTAGTGTGTATCAGATATGTTCTGTTGCCAGCACGAATCATGAGATGATACGTTATATTCATAATTGTTACCTCATCAATCGAGGTAGAAATAATATCTATTTGCAGTAAATCATAATGTCATTGTAATTGGATATGGCATCATAGTATACAATTGTAAATACTATATGTGCAAATGAATGTAATACTGGATCATAGTTTCATATTTCGTTCGAAGCGATTCCACTATAACTTCAGTTCGTGAAAACATAATAACATTATATGCCTATTTGGCAACTCATTCCCTGGGGCTGAAGTAGTATCTAAGGTGCATAAATCAGCGGGTTACTCATGACGTCATTGGTTTTGCATATGGTATCACAATTCATCCTATTTCATTACATTATGTAGAGAATAGGTGGTATACTGCAGATATCATGGTGATTATCAGGTGCAAGAAGAAAGAATGAGAGGAGCAACTCGGACTCAGAAATACCAACCAAACCAAAACTGCTGTGCATGTGTTATTGTGTTCATTTCCAAATTCATCAGGCCCAAGGGGACCAATAATTTTTGGGAGAGTGTACAAACTAATGGAAAACAAAACCATTGGAATACAATGAAATGAAAACAAAAAACAAACACTACAAAAAATGAAAACAACTAAACATACATAGAAAAGCAAAACCATTTAAAAGCAAGAGGCAATTGCTTCCTCCAAGGGTTCACCAAACCAGCATGTAAATCGTCACCAGATGTTTCAAGTGTTGCTTAAGTCTTTAACACATAAAGCTTTGGAGATGGTCAGTGGCTGAAATACCCAAAGAAGATTTTACATAATAATGTCACTGAAGTGGGGACAAGAAATCAGAGATGGAAAATAGTGATCTTTTAAGGTCTGTGGTAATTAAAAAAAACTACTGAAGGCTGTTGCAGAGTTGGACCTAATCATCAAAATTGAAAGGTAGTAAAGAATTTGCCAGAGAGAGAGAGAGAGAGAGAGAGAAATGTGATCTTATGGCAATGAAAACTTTGCCAATGTGTAGTAATGTAGACTACCAAATGGATCTTCAGTGGGATTAACTTAAAGAACAAGAGCAAGGTGTTATATCTGCAGTAAATTTAGAATAGTTCAGATAAAATATTTCACATTAATAATTTACTTTTGATAAATACCAGTTTCATTACTGAACTTTTGAGTAAACATGCTCCAAATTATGCTCTACAGAAAGCATATGATTTTCTTCAACTGATCCTCTATGACTGGACTTTATCAGTATGTAAAGACAAACATTACTCTTATTTGTAGAAGAAAAAGTTCTTTCTACTGAAGTTGCTGGTAATATTTGTCTCCTACAGTCAACTTTCATGTCTTTGTATCCCAGTTGCCTAATTTCTCCAGGAACTCCCCTTGTGGGGTAAAACAAGTGCTACAAGACTGGGCAACACTTGACCTACTGGTACAGTATTTGGTTACCATCTTGGCTGCAGGGTTGACTCCCAACTGTCAATGCGCTATCCAGGATGCATTGCTTTGTGTTAAAATGTACACTAAAAACACCCAAAATTGAATTGCTGTACTCAACACTAAAGAAAGATTATGGTCATTCCCAGTATCCTAACACAGTGACACTTACATACCGGTAACAACTGATGAGGTGTAGGGTGTTGGGATGGAGGTAAATCTGAAGTAATAGTAAATCACTGGTGAGGAACTGTCAAGTCAAAGAGGTCCATCAGTAACATACAGTACAGCACTAATAATATTATGCTTTACGGTTTTTACTCATAGGTCAAATTGGGTGGGATAATAATGATGACTGACTATGAATATGGTGGATGAGGCCAGAAATTGTTCATAGGCATGTGGGGGTATCACAATTCGCAAAATATTCAACGTCAAGCAACTTGTACGTATTACGTGTATGGGGCATGATGCCACAATGCATCCCATGGATATTGTACTGCCTGCCTTGGACATTCTATAGTATACCCTGTATCAAAAGGATTAAAAATTGTGAATACAATTATTAAAATATACAAATATTACAGTTTTTTCCTGTAAAAATTTCAACAATTTGTAAATAAACTTTTAAAGCTAGAAAATACTATCCCTTTTTATATTAAAATCTTTAAGGATAAGTATTTTTAAAAGTTTATTGTGACCTTGTGTAAATTAAATAAGTCCAGCTTATCTGATTTTAAGGCCACCCATTTCTTAGTGCAGTAGTTCAAGAAAAATAATGAGCATGACCAAGAGCTCTTCATCCTACAACACTCCTTACACCACCTGTTCAAAACTTCTCAGTACCATAGAGCACATGAATACAACTCACAGTATCATCAGCCTTCAAGAATTATTATACTTTCTCACCTTTTCAATAAAAGCTAAAACACAGCTTTTTTTTTCTGAACAAACACTGTGTTATAAGGGTACAGTTGTTTGTATTATTTCACAAGTTACGATAAGCACAATAGTTTCATTGGGAAAAGTTCCAGTTCACCTTAACACTTGCACTGATCTTATATGAGCAATGTTCGAACCTAGAAAGAGAGACAAAGTATTGTTATAATTAGTGTTGGCAGATTAAATACGTATTAAGCACTGGTTAACAACACTGTTCAGTCATATTAAACCCACCAGCTAGACACATAAGACACATCAATACAGGTACATTTACAAATCACAGATGTATCATAAATATCTTTTAAAAACAATACCTTTACAGTAATTCAGTTTGCCTTGCACACTATGTTCATGTTTTCCTCTACATAAAATGATATGAATGCAAGAATTTATAAAATGTTCTTTCATAGACTATGAGCCAGCTAGCTCCGACCTGAGGTGTTTCAGTATATTGCAATTAAATTATATTAATATATAAATAAATAATAAAATAGCAATGAATGCTTGCATTTAAGATGAATAATAATTGTGTTTCATGATTTCCATACATTAGTATACAATTATATTTAACCATTAAAAAAATGAATGCTTACATACCATCATAATGAACACCTCAAAAAGTGACAAGTACTTTATGCCATGGAAAGAACTGGTCAACCACCACCACCCTCTTCTTGATATAAACAGCAGCTGCTGTTATGTGAAGACACCTTCTTAACACAGCCAAAGCTTCATCACAGATCTATCACTCTGAACATTTTGCCATAAAAAATATGTTTCGCTGTCATAATAAAAAAAAATACGACCATAGAAAAATATAGAAAGATTCCCATCAATAGTTAATATTTTAACTTATCAATTACAACTAACTACAGAACTAATACAACTACATACACTAGTACTTGTATTTACACTACAACAGATACAGGAGTTGTACAGAACAGTATAGCATCTGAAAGAAAGCATACTAGTGCAAACACAGTGAATCAAAATTATAAAATACCTTTATAACACACAGATCATCACACTATAAACTACTGTCAACTGTATCACATCACCTTAGCTCCAACTGTCAGTCTCCACCACTGGCTCCTTGTCTACTCAACCTTAGGCTTGTGTCTTTTGGCCGCACACTGGGAACCTCCTCCATACTCACTGCTGTGTTAGACTTTGGGGAAGTTCTCTTAGCTTCAGGATTTTGGGGTGTGGTTTGATGTGGAAGCTGTTGGGATGGGGAGGAGCTTCCTAATCTAGTAGGGGATACTATTCTAGATGGAGGGTCAGCTTCAGTTGCTCGTCTGTAAGTAACTGGTGACTGGCGGATGGATTCTTGGCTGGCAGTTTGCCATGTTAACTGTGAAGTTCTGCTCCCAAAGGCAAGTCTCCAAGGTTCCTTGTGAGAGTCTGAACTGCTGGAAATAGCTTGACTCCTCTCCAGTCCCGTGTCAGAGGAGGAGCTATGGAGTTGAGTAGCATGTGCTTTACTAAAACTACGGCGCCTTTCTAAGTGGATTGTTGTTTGTGACGCAGAAGGAAGAGGAGATTCTGATCTACTGGGTAACCCTGAGGAGACTGGAGTGGGATGTGGATCTGGTGACAACACCCTGACCGGGGGTCTTGAACCCTCTTTAGTGGCCTGAGATCCTGTTTCAAGGGCATCTAATGCACGATTAATGTTTTGGAATCTTTGTACCCGCCGTAGTTCCTGTGTTGTCCGTTCTCTCTCAAATCGTTCATCGGTCAGTTCACGACGCATCCTTTCTACGTCACTCTCCAACTGTGCTGCTCTGGTCCGGAATCTCTTGGTCTCATTTGTTTCATCTTCTAGTTGCTCTTGAAGTTCTGTGACCTGAAAAAAAATTAAACATTCCAAAAAGTACTGAAAGTTTTTAATAGAAGCAGTTTTAATTGGCTATACAGTATGGAGCTATATGTATGAAAACATCACTGACTAGAAAAATGTTGTAATGTGCTAACTATTCACGCTTACTTGTGTACCAGTAACTCAACATTACTAAACATACTGTAAATTACAAAACAATAAGGTTTTGTACATACAAATTTATCTACAAATTATTACCAGCTGAGATAAGTGAAGCACCAACCTTTCTCTGCAACTGGTGTTTTTCTACCTCTAATTGCTTGTTGCTGGCCTGGGATGACCACTCAGCTCGACGCTTCTCGTTAAGAACCTCCTCCAGTGACCTGGCATTTGAGCGCTCAGTGTTCAGTTGACAGCTAATACCATCTAATCTCTGCTCTAGGGACCGTTTCTGCTCCAACACCTGTTCAATTGTAGTCACTATATAATTTACTGATCAAAGTAAATAGCAGAAACAACAGCAGCTTTTGTTGATACTGCCAGCATCACCTACCATGACCATGAAACTTGCCTAAATATAATCAGAGTTCAATCATCTTGTTTCTGGCTGTTATCCTGTGATCATGCTAAGGTTTACCGAAGCTGACTCATTATCTTCAGTGTATCTTTGAGAACTACAAGCATATACTCACACATTTCAAGACCAAACCAGATGTAATTACTTTTGCCTTTATGCACTGTAATAGTGCAAGGTCAGAAGAATGCAGGCTGGGATTTCAGGGATCTAAAAAGTCTTGGGGAAGTAATAAGTTGAAGAACTGTGAGCTCTAAATATAATGGTTTTCAGGGGAGATGATGAAATTTTTCTTATTATAAGCTTGTAAAACATGGGTCTATGATAATGCACTTACTATTACTGTGCAAGAAGTTTGAAAGGGCTGAGATAGGGTTATGTGGCAGAGGTTAGCCTTGAACCTTTCTACAGAACATGTAGCTAAAAGCATAAAAAACTATGGGAAATATTAAAAAGTGCTTATTCTAATTCAGCCTACAGGTAGCCAGAAACTAAAATATAAATTTTTATAAGAACAGACTCACTCATACATGTCCTTGGACCCTTAGTGCACATATCATTGTTTTATTATTAAAATTGAATTAATCTTACAATTCTTCAGAATGAAGCATCTATAGAGAAATAGGCAAAATGTCACAAAACATTTACAGAATTACATTTAACTTGGTAAAGTTTGAGCCCTTTTCTTCTAAATTATAAAAGGATGACTGTATGAATAGAAAATATTGTCTATCCTCATCATGTATCAGTGAACTGTACTAGTATACAATAACCTATTGGTGAGTGATCACCTTCACACCTTTAGCTATTAATACAGTACATCTGGCATTGCAATAAAACATAAGAATTAGTTATGTGGGAAAGCAATGAAAGAATGAAGAATTGGGAAAGCTAAGAAATAGGACAGAAGGTCACAGATGACATCAAGTGGGCTAAATTATGCTTGTGGACAAGAGAGGAACATTCAATTAGAGATGGGACATTTCTGCTAGTCATGCAGCAATGGGTCAACAAAATCATTCAATGCACTGTATGAGACTAGGAACAACAAGTGCTATAAAACTGTTTGAAGATATTGGTTAATTTTCAAATACAGATGTGGAAGTAGTTAGGTGATTGTAAATAATATTTTACCATTTTAATAATTTAAAATAATTTATAATAAGAGTATCTACAATACACAATAAATAAAATTCAAATGCAGTAAAATTATTATCATGAGCCACACTGGGATTTCCTCACTGGCCCTTATAAAAAAGAAAGTCACAATCTTAATTGATGTTCTAGGCTCCCACTTTAAGAACCATGAACTTAGTTCTATACACATGAAGGATTAACTGAAATGGTCACTGACATGTAAAATACTTAAATCATCTTTTCTTTTTAGAGCAAAGGAAGGTTGTCACACCACAAGCCTGTGAAAATGAATTAAAGAATGTTAAGTTATTACAGTATAATACTGTGGGGGATCGGTGGTAGAAACGGTACCGTTCTTGCCTCGCAAGCGAGATGTCGTGGGTTCGATTCCCGGGCCGGTGGAAGTTGTTTGGACTTACTTCCTAGCCCCCATTAGTCCCTGTTCACCTAGCAGTAAAGTAGGTACCTGTTGTAAGTCGAAAGTTGCGAATTCGTATTCAGGGAGTTGTTGGAGCTTCCAATAACCTGATGACATAAACCACTGACTCTTCGGGCTTCAACGCCCTTAACTCATGAGACATAAAGGCAAGCATGAACTTAGCATGCTTCCCTGTTGGGCGCTGTAAACACTTCTGCGCTTCACCTTACACAAGGATGTAAGGGAGTGCCCAATAAATAAAAAAAAAAAAAAAAAAAGTATAATACTGTATGTCTTTCCATTATGATTACTTTTACAAAATTTACCTTCTCAAGGCTAGTGTTGAGCCTAGCCACCTCACCCTCAGCCTGACCCCTCTTCATGTCTAGCTTCTGTGCCAAGTCACGAGTGGTGAGAAGCTCCTTCTCCACATTGTATTTATCTTCCTCCAGCTTCCTGCATGACTCCTCCAATTCATCACACTTTTGACTTGCTTCCATCATCTGCAGATCACAAAATGGATGAAGATATTCATCTTTCATATAAGACAATCCACCAGAGATCATCCACAGATTTCAATAAAGACTAATAAAAGTTTGATAGTACAGTATTTAAAAAGACATGCAACTGACTCAAAGTTGGACTGCCTGCCTGAAATGTGGAGCTCAAATTCATTAAAATCTGTTAGTTAAGAAATAAAGTCACATCAAAATGAAGGACTGTTACGGACATCCTATTTAGGGACATACTGTCCATTTAATGTTGGGGCTCTAGATGCTAATAGCTCTTCTACCCCATAGGTTCCAAGATAACATTGTACAACTGCCTGGTAATGAAGAACTGGGAATTAAAACCTCCAGGACTTAATACATGACAATTAAGCAAGGCTGACTCTCCTTCTGATATAAGTCAATTTGCATCTTTTAAAAGATCTCCTCCACTTGTTGATTAAGTTCATGGATACATTATTTGTCAAAAGTATGATGTCTTGTTATGAAACATTTTAAATGGAAGAAAAATATTAATGAAGTATTACTTATAATAAATAAAAAAAATTATAGTTGCACTGCACGAACTAAACCCTAAATACTGTACTGTATAAAGTACAAGTACAGTATTAAATTTTTTTAATCATGTTTGAGAAACTGTCATCACAGCATAAAACACATTCAGAGAGGGCACACAATACTGGTAATGATATACCCAGTAGAAGGTTCACCTGACTAATAATCTGCTCTCTCTCCTCCTTAAACTTGGCCACCATGGCTTCCATCTTGGTCATTTCCTCCACCCTAGATGTGATGCTCTCCTCTAAGGAAGCATTCAGAGACTTGAGAGATGATACAGCCTCATTTAAGTTCAGATACTGTTTCTTCAATGATGATTGCTCTGAGTCCTGCAACACAAAAAAGTTCTATTATTATGTGTCCAGGTACATGGCTCAGTTAAATGGTCAAAGAGAATTTAGGTACTGTACATTTATATTCATATGATACCATTGTTACACGCAAAGGACTGTATAAGTAGTTTTAGGTAGACTTCTAAACATACATTCATTAAGACACCACATAATGTTGCACATATTCTCAAGAATGTAGACTAACTTTATCACACGTATTAGTTTTCACTTTCCAGAAAATAGGTGTTTTGTCACCCATAAAGAGGCCAAAATGTACTTTTTCTTCAAAATTCATATAAAGGTACACTTTTATGTGTTGATTAAGGATATGGATTCAAAATCATAAAATTCGATTACTGTAATTACTGTTAATTAATGAACTTCGACATAATTACATAAATTCAGAATATTTAAAATTTAAATTACATTGTGAACCACCAAATGGTGTCTATGTTTTGACCCAGTTGGGTCTAATCAAACCAATATACAAGTTACAGTACCTGCACCTTTGTTTTTGAATTATAACATTGAAAATAAGATGAATCCCTTCAAAATGACAGACAAAAACACTAACAGTTGCTCGATTGACTTGTTGTCAGTTTAATGTCAATTGTGAGGGATACTGTATTTTATGAGAAAAATATGAATTGTTCAAGTTCTATTCTGTTAGAGAAAGTGGTAAGGGCATGAGTGAATACAATGTGCTTAGTAATTCAAAACTTGAGAAACTAAATAAGATAATAAGGAAATGATACAAGAGGAAGAGGTTGGAGGAGATAAAGGCTCCCATGGCTGGCTAGATACTGGTAAAAAAAAAAAAAAATAGGGACTTCAAAGAGAAATGGAGATAAGTACACAATGTTCTTTCTCAAGTGGACGGTTAAACATTTCAAAGAGAGACAGGATATTAGAGAAATTGGGATTTTGATGCAACTGGTACTGAGAAATGTGTGGTTCAATTTACTACACAGTATTAATAAAAACAAATAATTTCACTAAAGACTGACATAAGAATGCTTTAGGTTTGACAAATTAAGTGGGCAGTTCATTGCCTATATCTCTTGTCCTTCCATGTCATAAACACCCCCACTGGTAACTCACTTTTGAGGAGAGTATATTAGTTAGTTCTTCTAAGGCTAGGCAATACTCCTGTGCCTTCTTCTTAAAGTTATCTTTAGACACCTGGCACTTCTCCAGGTCCTCCTGGAGCTTCTTATAATCTTGGGTCAAACCTGTAATTTCCTTCTGAAGTCGCCTGGAATACAATTCAGAGTGAAATATGAATTACGATCCTATCCACAGTAAGAAATGTTTGTTCAAAATCAATTATTGTCTTGGAACTGGAAATACAGGAAACACATGCATTTAGCATCAGAAAAAAACACCTAAAACATGATATTACCACATCTAATTATAACTATCAAAATTATAACTTTTTGAACCCAGATCCCTAATCAGTATGTTCAGGAGTATTGTACTAACACACACAAGTAACCTTAGACCATTCTTTATCAGGTGAGAGGGTGCATCAAAAGTACCCAAATGTGTCAATAAACTTTAATTCCTCAACCAGAACACCCAAAAATTTTACTTGAAAGCCAAAAGGCTTATTTCTGTATTGAATCAGAGCCAATTTCATTTTGTTTGCTCATCATGATACAGAAATGAAGGGTAGGATGCAGGTCATGTAAAACATAACAAGATATACCGGTACACGTAAAGCCCCCCCCCAACACATAATGGTTTGGAACAATTTAACAGTGCTGGTTTACTTCCTGTTAACAGAGTAGACCAGTAAATTTTTTTCCATATGAATAATACAGAACTGTACAGCATTAGCAACAGGAGTGCCTTAGAATATCTCAATTGGCTTGTTGAAATGGTTAATAATTAACAGTTATAGAAAAGGGGATGAACTGGACTTACCTGATCTCTTTGTTGGCAGCATCTCTTGCGAGGATAATATCGGCCAGGTCCTGCTCCAGCCGCTGGCCCCGTCGCTCCTCACCCGCCAGCTTCCGCTCCTCTGCTGCAATCGACGAAAGTGCTGCACTGAAACGTAAAACACAACCCTTAACTAATGCAATTACAATACAATGGCAACAAGACAGGAGATATTTTACACAGCTAACTGTTAGTGTCGGGCCAACAGAAACACTGTTCCATGCTACAATAAAATATTGTTTACATATTACAGGTAAGTACAGTGCAGGTAACATACTGGTACATTTTACAAAGTGTAGCACTGATAGGGTGGATAGTCCTCCACCGTGCCACTTCATTGTTTGTCCACAACCATCAAACTTTTATTCATATTTTCACCAAACACGCCATACTTTATTCTGTACTAATAAATACCTAAATCCTTGGATGAGATTACCCCCAAAATTTAAGTGACGGCTTAACGAAGCAGGGCTGCAGGGGTTTAACTATTGTACAGTAAATTATTAAACATGCAGGAAAAACTATTGTGATTTTAAGATGAAGTGAACGTAAATATATTGAGAAATTGGCGAAGGTCATGAAATTACATAATCAGAGAACGGAAGCCTCTGATCCTGGAACAATTTGAACCAACCCAAACCACCCATTAAATTGGTTTACATGGCTAGTGGAAGATTTAAAATAAAAAATATTACATCATTAAATTTTAGAGACTAAAAGAGATAATTTATAGAAGCTTGGATATCAATTACAAAATCAATATCCGCATTTGACATGAAAATATCCGGACAAATGCAAAAGTCACACACGTAATCTCCTTATGATAAAACACATCATTCATGAAAACTATGAATAACACAATTAGTTATTAATGTAATGTGTTGGTGAATTATTTAAATAAAACAACTGTTTGTGATAGACGACAGCCTATTTTTTTTTTACGGCCGACTTATCAGAAGACGTGAGACTTATCACAACGCAAGATAATTATTATTTAATTAACACAGCTGTCACACAAGGCAGATAAAGTACAAAGTACTAGCGCCCAACGTGAGAGCCAAGGGTGCCACTATAAAACTTCCCGGTAAATACTTTCTACATTAAACCATTCAACGTCCGTAAAGCATTTACTGGTGAAATCTGGCGGACCTAAATACCCATTCGAAACGGTGCGAGACGTCACAGTACATGTACGGTACACTTGACGGCTACAGTATGTGTGTGGCTAAACAGGCATTGTTGTAAACCTAACCATTTGTAGTACATTTTAAAACCTTTTCTGATACAAAAAGTATGTTCATGATGATCAATTTAATTACTCGACGAATGTTTCAATGTTTACGAGCGTTTGTCTGTTTACAGGAGTTTATACACTACTCTTACGTGAGTGGTCCACCATAATATTTTCATTATCTTTAAATGGCTAGTGGACTAGTGGTCGTAATAAAGATTCTCAACAAGCTGATTTATTTATCTATATCCCAAAGATGAAAATAAAATAAAATAACAAAGCACAGGACTGAGAATCCGGGTTCGATGTCCAGCTAGAGTCGGCTAGACAATGCATATTTAAACTCCGTGCACAGTCTCACAACCATAACAAATTACCATGAATCTCCGGATCACATGATAGCAAATCACATACAGAAAGTGAAAACAGCGAGACGGCAGGAAAGTGAAACAGCGTGGTGGTCGGCGTGCGTTGCGTGAGTGCTGACGCCGCTCAGCTGGTCTGACAGGAAAGTGTCACGGGCGCCTCGGAGGGGAAATGAAAAAAATGTCCAGCAAATGTCACGTCATCCAGTACCAAACTCAGTGTAATTAATCTTTAAAAATACTCGCTAGTTCTATTACTTGTGGTAAGATTTTGAGCCAAGGGGATTCATATCTTCTTTATATCTGACACTACTCGGAGAGATGCCAGTATCATCCACGTCAGAGATGATGGACGTAGACTGTAGGGGATGAATATATATATCAGAGACACGTAAGAGGGATGATTAGAAGAATCACCATCACTTTCACTATCCCAGTCACCATCATTCACTTTTAATACGAGAGCAACACATGGTGATGATGAGTGTAGACAGTAAACATTACATCACAGTTGTTCACTGGAGATGGCCACGTTCACTATCATACCATCATTTAGCATCACTATCATCATTATTCACTGACATCACTATCACCATTAATCACTGCCATCACCATCAAACTATCACTGTCGCCATCAGACTATCACTGTCACCATTACCACCATACCATTATTATCATCAATTAATGTCACTATAATTATCACTATTTACACTACCATACCATTACTATCATTATCACAACATCAATAATAGCATACTGTATAATGACAAATGTTAACACCATTTGTAGCGGATCATGCATAAGGTCAACAGCTGTATAATGTCAACAACAGCTGCATAATGTCAACAACAGCTGTATAATGTCAACACCAACTGTATAATGTCAACAACAGCTGCATAATGTCAATACCAACTGTATAATGTCAACAACAGCTGCATAATGTCAACAACAGCTGTATAATGTCAACAACAGCTGTATAATGTCAACACCAACTGTATAATGTCAACAACAGCCGCATAATGTCAACAACAGCTGCATAATATCAACAACAGCTGCATAATATCAACAACATCTGTATAATGTCAACAACAGCTGCATAATGTCAACACCAACTGTATAATGTCAACACCAACTGTATAATGTCAACAACAGCTGCATAATGTCAACAACAGCTGCATAATGTCAACAACAGCTGTATAATGTCAACAACAGCTGCATAATGTCAACAACAGCTGCATAATATCAACAACATCTGTATAATGTCAACAACAGTTGCATAATGTCAACACCAACTGTATAATGTCAACAACAGCTGCATAATGTCAACAACAGCTGCATAATATCAACAACAGTTGCATAATGTCAGCACCAGGTCAGGAAGGTCGTTAACAAGAACACCGCACCGGGCTGACGTCACACTGGCCAGTCATCACTATAAAAACAATAGTCCACACCTTAGTCTCCCCCTCCCTCCTCTCTTCCCATCGCTTATATATATATATATATATATATATATATATATATATATATATATATATATATATATATATATATATATATATATATATAATATATATCTTTGTGTATGAACCTCTGTCCTGCGTGGCAGAGAAGTGTCAAAACCTGACTGAATTACCCGGAATAGGCAAACTGTACTCCAGGATTTGCCAATAAATTTGTTACACTAATTAAATCTATATCCCACAAGTGTACTCTTAACGCGTGATATATAATTTTCGCTCGTGGAAATCACTGGTACAGCGCATATAAATAATTTTCGTATGTAAGCATCAGCAACATCAATACTATAATTTACTTAAAAACACGTACAGTAATATACCAACTACCGGATATGCTGGTCGGTCGGGTATGTTTTACTAACCTGTCCAACCAGTTTTCTAGGGTCTATTTTCTGGCAAATATATCACCAGTTAGCGAGGGAGATTGGTAAACTGGTGCACTGGTCTGACTGTTGCCAAGACAACACGCATCACCCCCAACCCACTAGCTCACCAAACCGGGAATATTTCTTCCTTTTTTCCTCATTGTTTTCTATATCGAATTATTAAGTTGCCAGATCCCGTAGGTTACTCTCACTGCTACGACCATCTATACTTACTGTGGTCTTTTTATAACCCAGACAAGAACATTTATGTGTCGTGTGAATAACTAATGACGCCAAATTTTCATTGTCAAGAGGATGTCCACATTTTCAAACCACTCACTTAACAATTCAATTCAATTTCAATTGTTTATTCCTTGATAGAGGAAGCGGGATCCTAGTGCTGTCACTAGGTACCCCCTGTACTCACTTAACTCCGGAATTTTGCACAAGCTGTCTTTATTTGCAAATGGGAAGCATTAATTATAATTTAGTGTTGGCACGACAAAGAGCTGATAACAATTAAAGCGAAGGGGAGGGTTTGGGGTCCGGATACCAGAATCTGTAATGGTGGCCTTGACTTATGTTTTGGGGAGCAGTGTGTGTAGACCCTTAGCTTATAAATGTATTGTACATACAGAACACGGTTGCAGTTTGTATTCACTCTTCTGTCGGAGCTTTTAAACTTACTGACTGGTGATATATATACAGTAGTATATGTGTGTGTCGGGGTGGGTGTGTAATGTTGCAAAATATCCTATCTAGGATTTGAAGCTTCGTAACTAGAACTGGAACCCCAAGCAACGTTTATTAAACCCATTTATACATGAAAAAAAATCACTCTGGTATCAATGGTCTCCGTTATCCCGCTTAAGTTTTAATGGCTGGCACGGTAATGGTAATGGTATCGCCTAGGACTGGGTATCCCAGAGTAGGGTATTCTGTAACTGTATGAACTATACTGTATGTATACTGTATACGTGGCATCACATACGGTGATCTGTATGCGCACCAAATACCACGAAATATTCTACCTGGACTCGGACTTATAACACCAGTTACGTGTGTGTAGCAGTCACCAAGGTATGGTATTTCCGGGGTGGGCCAGCCCACCCAACTGGGGGCCCCAGATTTTGTATTTATTTTTAATCTGACCAATATCAAGGGCATTTTGAGACCATTTTGAAGCACATGATATTGGGAGATATTCTGACGTCAATAGTAATAACTTTTTGCAATACAAAAATGCCCGAGTACAAGACTACATTAAAGAAATAATGGAATTTTCTCATGAAGTCCGGATCCCAGGACTCCCCGGATCCGCCCCTGCGGGTATATACTGTACTGTAACAGAGCTCAGGTTTATCAGTTTACAATTACCGTTGCCAGTTTTTGTTGCTCTTGTTAATGAGCATTAATATCTTCCGGCGAGATTGGCGTGACGATAATCTATCTATTAATTGGAACAGTAATAACCTAACTGTATTGGCAAGACTGGTAGGTCAGGTCGGCCGGGTTAAGTTTCCCACCGGTCCAGTTTTTGTTCATGTAAAGATGTAAACATTGGATCAGCAGAGAAGGTACTAGACGCCAGAACAAATTACCAACTGAAAGTCAAAGTTCAGTTCTG